TGAAACGTTTGAAGCTGATAATGAAGCTTTTAGTTGTCGATGAAAACGTTCTACCAACCCGTTTGCTTGTGGGTGGTAGGCGGTCGTTCGGAAGCGCGTGATTCCTAAAAGTGTGGTCAGACAACGGAAAAGTCCAGATTCGAACTGGCGTCCGCGGTCTGTAGTGATGGTTGAAGGGCAGCCGAAATTTGCTACCCATCGTTCGACGAAAGTGCGAGCCACTGTTTCAGCAGTAATGTCCTTAATCGGTACTGCTTCTGGCCATCGAGTAAAACGGTCTACGCATGTTAGGAGATATGAGTATCCGTTCGAGTCGGGTAAGGGTCCTACCAAATCTAGATGGACGTGGTCGAAACGAGCGTCAGGGGTTTTGAAAGAATCTAAGGGACATTTGTTGTGTCTGATAACCTTATATTTCTGACAGCTTACACAGGAGCGTGACCACTCCCTCACGTCTTTATTCATGCCAGGCCAACAAAAGCGTTCGGCTATAAGTTCGATTGTTGCACGAGCACCTGGATGAGAAAGATTGTGCAACGTATTGAAGACGTTGCGGCGATAGTGTTTCGGTACAATTGGACGATCCCTACCTGTAGATGTGTCACAGAGTAAGGTTTCCTTACCTGTTCCCATCTGCCTAATACTTAGTTTAAGAGTTGTCGAGGATAACTCATGCTGAAGATTAATGTCTTCTTTTTGAAGCTGAGCGAGTTTAAGAAGGTCGATTCCTTGGAAACTGTTCAAGGAGCTAATTCGAGACAAGGCGTCTGCGACTACATTGTTTCCTCCAGAAATATGTTGTATGTCTGAAGTAAACTGCGAAATGTAGTCGAGTTGTCGAGACTCTCTTGGTGAGTACTTGTCTGAAGATGAACTTAAAGAGAAGGTAAGAGGTTTGTGATCGGTAAAGAGCGTGAATTCTCTTCCTTCGATGGAATGTTGAAAATGCCGTACAGCACAATACATAGCTAGGAGTTCCCTACCGAACGTGCTGTACCTAGATTCAGCGTCTAGCAACCGTCTCGAGAAAAATCCTAAAGGTTGCCACGAGTTGTTAACCCATTGTTGTAAGACTGCTCCGATTGCTGAGTCGGATGCGTCTACGGCGATACTAATGGGCGCTTGAGTGTCCTGATGAGCAAGCAAGGTTGCTTTAGCGATGTGTTCCTTAACTGTGGAAAATGCTTTACGGGCTGTGTCGTCTAAACTAATTGATTTCGCATTTCCACGAAGCTGATCGGTCAACGGTTTCATTAGGGATGCGCATTTAGGTATGAACCGTCTATAGAAACTTACGAGTCCGTTAAAAGTTCGTAACTGCTTGATCGTGGTCGGTTCTGGGTAATCCAGAATGGCCGCCACTTTGCTCCTAAGGGGTCGGATGCCTTGGGCATCAATGGTGTGTCCTAAGAAGTCTAAGCAGTTAGTTCCGATTTGGCATTTCTGAATGTTGACAGTAATGCCATGCCTTTGGAGTAGATCGAAAACAATGTCCAGATGCTTGAGATGCGATTCTCTGTCCGGACTTGCTATTAGACAGTCATCAACATACGCATGTAGGAAGTTGAGACCTCGTAAGACGTCGTCTATAAACCTTTGGAAGGTTTGAGCCGCGTTTCTTAAACCAAAAGGCATTCGTAGAAATTCGTAAAGACCGAAGGGAGTGATGATGGCGGTTTTAGGAATGTCGTCAGTTGCCATCGGTATTTGGTTATAAGCTTTAACCAAGTCGATTTTCGAAAAGACAGTTGTACCTTTCAAGGTAGCTGTCAAATCGTGAATATGAGGCAGCGGGTAACGATCGGGAATGGTTTTAGCATTCAGACGCCGATAATCACCAGTTGGCCGCCAATCATTGCTGTCCTTTTTAGGGACCATATGCAATGGGGATGCCCATGGACTATTCGATGGTCGAATTATTCCTAGGTCCATCATGTGGTTGAATTCGTTTTAAGCTAACCTAAGTTTTTCGGGAGCGAGTCGATGGGCTTTCGAAAATACAGGTGGTCCTGTAGTCGAGATGTGATGTGTAACATTGCTGGTTACACAAGGTAATTTCGATTGCGATTGGTATATCCCAGGGTATTTGTCGAGTACTGCTTGGTACAAGGGGTCTATGGCGTGCTTAATCGTGACTGGGGATAACCTGCAACCAGAACAAGGAGTTACGCAAACGGACAACTTAGTGTTTCCGTCTATTAACCTTCGTGCGCGTGTGTCGATGAGTAGATTGTGGTATTGTAACAGGTCTATACCAATGATTGGCATAGAGACACATGCAACCACGAAAATCCAGTGTATGGGTTTGCGTAAACCTACGTTAAGGTAGACGTACCTTTTACCGTAAATAGCGATCGGCTTTCCGTTTGCCGCCTGTAAACTTAAAACAGACTCGCGAAGTCTGTCGTCGAGATTTGCTGGAAGAACGCTAACTTCTGCGCCAGTGTCGACGAGGTGGCGAACTTTCGTAGTCACATCCGTGACATATAAGAGGCGGCTGTGTTCGCCGGCTACGGTTGCCGTTAACGCGTGCCGGCTGGGAAGTTTCCCGAACTGTTTTTCGTGTCACTCGATTTTGGGGTCGGATAATTGCAAGGTTTCCTGCAGTTTCTGGAAAACTTACCGTACTGGTTATGATACCAGCACCAGTCGGGATTGTCTGTCTCTCGTGGTCGAGAGCCAGATCTCTTACGTGAGACGCTTCTACGCGGGGTTTTTGACCGACTACGGTCATTGCGAACTCTAAGATATCGTGTAAGCGTGTGACATAGTTCGGCCATGTCAGTCGAGGTCGATTGGGGTTTTTCTTTGACGGAAAAAACCTCGGCCTTAGAAGATCTAGTGATTTCCAAGATTCGATCGGCAGATGCAGCTAGTTCATCTATGGCATTGTTTTGAAATGAAACAAGCACTGCCTGCACCTGTTGAGGGAGTTTGGACAAGAAAAGTTGTCTAAATAGGCCATCATCGAAAGTTCGTTGGCCGATGACTTCTCTCATTCTAAGCAACATGTCCGTCGCAGAACCATGTTGCAAGTCGATATTGTTAAGGAGTTGGTCTAACCGTTGTCGATCAGTTAGGTCTCCTCGTTTGAAAATCGATAGCTTAAGCGATTCGTAAGGTTCGGAAACATCACTAGTAAACATACTAGGTGTTACGTACCTGTTAAACTCGCGCGGTAACGCCTTAACTACCGCGAGGAAACGTGTGCGCGAGTCCGTGATTCCGTGCATGCAAAAATCGGCTTCTGCATAGCAGAACCAGGACTCGATATTGTCGGGCCAAAATGGCGTTAACTGAATCGAAATAGGGGGAATAGACTTAAACTTAAGAACCTTAGGAGAGTGTTCCGTCATAGTAATATAGATATCGAAAAATGTCTAAGTAAAATATATCCGAGAAAAAAAAAGGTATATCACAATATATAAAATTCAAATAAAGAATAACAATAAATAATAATATTCCAAAATGGAGCAGACTCACAGTATATTGTACCAGATCACGTCGGGTTCACCAATGATGATGCAACGGATATTCTAGTTTTACAACTAGATACCAGTAGCACCTTCTAAATTTGATCGTTCCCAGTCAGATAGAAATCAGAAGTCGGACGAGAATAGGCAGGAAAGATATATTTGATTCGTTACCAATATATCGAGGACCTTTTCTATGAGCTGGCTAATGAAACGTAGGAGCTGTGTCCCACGCAGTATTGAAACGTGATCTGGTGCGGATGCATGACCGAAAGCCTTCAGCTAAACAAGTCCACTTAAACAACGCGGTCAGCATCCAATGTCGAACACTTAATGAGCTATTGATTTTGGGGAATTATTTACAGCTACATTGTAAACAGGTGGTGAACTAATTCGTTCGATTTTGGTATTCATTGTGGACAGAGGGATTACATGAATCTTGTTCTAAATATAATTCACTTTCTATTTTTGTCCAGTTCTCAATTTTTCCCAAATCCTTAATTAATCCAGTCACAACTTTCCACTTTGGTTCCACTGAATTATTCGTTGTTCGAATTACACGTTCACTTGAACTGTTTCATTTAGTCAGTCATATTCGTAGTTGCAAGTGTCCGCAGGTGAATGACTGCTATCTTTGTGCATTTTGATGATTTTTTGATGGTTTTTCAATAGGAGGATCAAAACTTATTTTATTTCTGAAGATACTGGCCGGGACTATTGTAGACCGTAGTGCCTGGTACAATGTCGTGCCAGCATGGGTTATTCTGGATTCCAGATAGACCAATTTATTCATTTTTCTTGAGTCTCATTTTGATCTTCTTAATTTTTCGTTAATCGACCTTGACCATTTTTATGTGAGTGCATATGTGTGCACTTCTTATCCTACTCAACACATCTCTGTAACTTGTTTGACTATAAATCAAATGAGGTTGGCACATATGCCTTCCTTGATTCATTTCTGTGCGCTCTGCCGTCTTCGCTTCTTTCGCCTCGTTTCCCTGATTGTCTGATGAGATTAATGAATGTGTGAAATAAATGTTTTCCAAGTCCATTCTAGTACTTGACTTATTTAATTACGTTATTCACTAACCCGATTTAAGTCGATGATTATTTACGAGGGTAGCCTGGATGTATACTTTGATAACACTTAGCATACAATCTAAATGGGGTCAGATACAGAGTCACTGAAAGACGTAATTTTTGGTCATCTCTTCTCTCATCAGCTCCAAAACAGAAAATCTACGAGGACACTCCAAAAAAGTTCACAAGCCCAGAACGAATTACTTGTCAGCTGACTACCGACTTCCCCATAGAATAATCAACGAGTGGAATTAATTACCTCAGCACGTGGTTGAGGCTCCATCCGTCGACTCCTTCAAAAGAAAGTTGGATCAGCTGAGAGACCATAATTGCCAGGACTAACACAGGCCATCAAACTTCCTGTCCTTTCCAAACTGAAACTGAAACTGATTACCTTCTTTTGTTTTAATTGGTTTTAAACGTGGTGAAAAGTTTGAATTTTTCAAGATGGGTTCTGAAGATAATGTCAAAAACTTTGAGAAGATCGCAGTAGACCCAGTATGTTTGACAAATATCCATCATAATAGATATATTCAAATGCGATTTATCTTGTGTTTAATAATTATCATTGGTGGTCCAGTACTTTAGCCTTCTAATTTTGGTATGTGCTTAGATATCCTTCCCCTGTCTTCGGAAACTAAGAGAATTGTTCATTACAAAAACTAATGCTTCGTCTAAGCGATCCCAAGTTTTGAAAGTTACTGGGTTGGTTCTCGCATTTGTGAAAAATTACTTGCAATATAACTCAATTTCTCATCAGTTGACTTTCATCACATGCATTATTTCAATTTTCATGTCCTGAACCATTTTTTACAGGCAACCCCTTTGCAACAATAAGTAAGGTTGACGCGTTTTGTTAAGCTTGCTATTGAGTGTCCGGTCGCTTTCTGGTCGTCCATATCGGACAGCTTACAATTAGGTAGGACTTTAAGAAAATCTATTGCAAGCAACTCGTGTTTTTATATTTCTACATGTTGAAGAGAGTCTCTCGCTCTAGTTTGAAAACTTACAAGAAGCATTTTGTGTACTGCAAACACCAGGATTAACATTTAACACTCGACATGTACTAGTTCCTGAGTGCTGAAGATGAGCAACGATATATATATATATATATATATATATATATAGGGTGAATTCACAAAAGAACTTAGTTTATTTCGTTCACAGACTTCAGTCTTCATTTATGGTTGGGGCATAAATCTTCCTGACAAAGTATCCGCCTCCCAACCAAAGTTGAGTTTACTGCACAGTAGTTCTCTCCCTTCTATTTTATGGGTATGAAACTTGGCCATTAAGAAGAGGATGTTCGTAGGCTACTAATATTCAATCATATGTATCTACGAAGGATTGCTCGTGTATTTTGAGACTACGGAATAGCCAATGCGTCGACACGGAACAGAGTACTAGATAAATTTAGTTAATCTATTGGTGAGGTAGTTAATCTTCATCAACTGAGGTTGTCAGGACATGTTACGTATTCCCGCTCACCTCCACGAAGGATGTTTTCTGGTGCAGAAAAAGGCTGAAAGAAATATAAAATTGGCAAACCAAACACATGGCATCACTCCATGAGGACACTGATAATTGGACTTATCCATGTTAATTGGTATAAACTATCTGGTTGGGTCCTCATGGTTGTCATAAACAGTGATTACGGACTTTTATTGGCATTGCTTAAAATCGCTTGTTAACACCCTAGGTCCATCCATTCTTTATCTTTCTCCGAGTTGTGAGATTCTAAATCCCCCATGACATTTTTAGTTATTATTTCACTAGATTATATTTTCTTTGATCATGTCTTCTATGCTTAGTCTTTCCCATTACCACTGATACTGTTACTACCTCTACTATTCCGGCACTTGGCCCAACAACCATCTCCGCTAATGGGATATGGCAACTTTGACCGATTTGCGTACTCATCAGGTTCTACGTTGTGACTGTCAAATTTAGTATATTTATATCAGAAGGCCATCAATTAATTGTGGTTGGGATGATTACAAACAAATGGATTAACAGACAGTTCAAATTTCTAAACTTCATAGATAATATTAAACTGAAGAAATATGACAGCATTAAATAAATTTCATTAACGGAAGATTATGCATGAGCTGTATGTAGTTGTATAAGTACTGACGTTTAATTCTCCATTTTTCAGACGTTAGCTTTCAATTTTTTGTCCCCAATTTTCTTGTCTAGTTGGTTTCTTAATGCTGATGCTATTATTCATTTATTTGAATACAACATTAGTACGATGTGGCACCATATTTCCTTGAATAACATCTTCAAGCCCTAATCTTTCCCATTACTGCTTATACTCTCACTACTTCTACCACTATGGGATTTGAATCGACAACTGCATCTCTTTGCTAATGTGGTATGGCAACTCGAACCGATGTACGTACGTACTTACGAAGTTCTACGTTGTAACTAACTGACGGACTGACTGTGGCACCAGATACATATGCACCACATTATCACAATGAGGCCATTAACAGTTATCGGTGATTTGTGTAAGCTGTGGAACTGCTCAGCTGCTCAAACCGAAACAGGGGGTTTTCTTAGGAGGTCACACCCGCATTACACTGGTTAAATCATATGTAATATTTTTGAAATTTCGAATTTGTCTAGTGTTAGGACCGTTCTCGAAATTTTTATTTATTTAAACACATAAATATTGGTACAAGGGAGCATCAGATATATATGCGCCGCACAAATCTCATTTGATTTGTGTGAGGGCTGTGATACTGCCCAGGTGCCGAAACTGAAGCAGGTGGTTTTCTTAGAGAGCCACACCCGGAGCTTTTGACATAAAGGTCTCATCCACAGGGCAGTGGAGCATCGTAAGATGCAGTCCCATGGTAGCCGATGACCAACAATTGATTGATACGTCATTTGTTTCTCAGGATACTGGAACCCATGTGCCCCATTGGTTTGTAATCAGGGTTTTTCAACTCCCCTAGGTCAAATTTCCGTGTCCATCAACCCGGCTAAGGCTCCGGAAATTCGCTTTTCATCCTCTCACTTTCGTGAACAACACCCCATCCTGTTACGAAAAGGCAGTGAGTAGGACTTCCCTGTCAGAGGCTATATACGCGTGGCCATTTGAGAGCATTTCGAGAGAGAGTGGACTGTTCCCACTCTCGGTCGTACCAGGGCATTCGGGGGCCCAGAATTAATGAACATACCTACTTTCCAAACAATTTATATTTCTTAAATAAACTTGTGGACAAGCACTTCGCGAATACAAAACAATGAATATTTTATGCGAGAGACGTTCTTGGATTCACTCTGCTTTTGGGAAAAAACAAGTATCTTTTGAGCAGTGATTACACAGTTATCACCATGCCGTTTTTCGTTGAATTCTCTTCAAAAGGTTCTCTAATATGTTTCTGGTTTTTCAGTAATAACATCCTTAATTTTTCTTGAATTTAGCTGGAGCCTCTTGTTCTTCGTCCACCTGTTGGGTCAGAAGTTTATGGATCACCTCCATCAAGACGTACTAGTCGTAGCCGTCCTTTCATATTGGGTTCATTATTCGTCTTGTTCACTTTGCTAATGATTGCTAGTGTATTTCTGCTGCTATACATCCTTGGTTATAGACCGTTAACCTCACTTAACCATAAAGGAAATGCACACAGATCAATTTGTCGCATTCGTATTCCATTTTTAAAAATAGATCCTGTAGAATCTATTACAACAGATGATAATTTCCTCAATGTTACACTATCTGAAGTACCTTACTACAATGTGATCCGTATTTTACATCTGTTCTCTGAGGGTTTGACAGTGATTAGAACAAATAAGCATTGTTACATTAGACCGTTGAGGGCTGAATTAAGAGGATCTGGGATCGAAGATTATCTGCGTCGACTAAATGTAAGTTTCTCCTAATTTTTGTGAAGTTGAGACCATTTTGTTTGTATGTTTTCTACCGACCCAAATACTCTTTAATACTGCTACTCATCCTTTTAGACTACGGTAGACGAAGTGCATTTCAGGCCATGAGTCAATACTTATGCTACTTACCCATTCGACTTCATTTCTGTTTCTGTAAGAGCAGAAGTTCAACACACCAAAATATACCAACAAGACCTCGAACACAATCATGATAAAAACTGATTAGGATATTTAGACTAAGTATTTGTCATTAACAAAAGTCGTCGTAAAAATAAATTGAAATTTCATAAAGTGTTCATACTGAATTGTTTACTGTAATAGAATATCGACCTAATCCACTTAGATTTCTCGTAAGTTGTCATTTGAGATCTCACATCCCCAATACAGTTATTAGAGGAAGATTGTTCAAACTTGTACGTCTATGGTTCTGTGTAAATACTAGAATAGTTTATTTATGAAAAGGAATAGGCCAATGATCATACATTCCCTAAAACAATTCCACAGATCTTCAGTAAATTATGAGAAACATGGAAAATAATTTACAGTTTCATTACACGATAGGGATGGAATGTAGGTCTAAATTCGAAACAGACTACTACAATAATCAATCAGTTATTCGTTACGACATACTTTCGGTTACTTCAAAGCATGGTTATCATGACAGAAAAATCACCCCTATCTTTAAAAGTTTTTTAAGCTTGCGGGGCATTATCTATTATCGAGTATTATTAGTCATTATTATTACTATTATCGTTATTATTAACATCTATCCTCTAACGAGAATTGTTACTCTTAAGTTACTGTTTTACGCAAGATAATAATGTAGCAAGGGGGAGTAACCAATTGTTTAACCTTTTTAATTGTTGTTTAATATGTAAAGTTGCACTTTGTCCTGAAGTTCAGTTAATTACTAACATCCATTCTTGTCAACAATCATCACATCATTTTATATTGTCTACTATTCAGAATTCTTTCACTTAATGAAAACAATATTAATGAAATGTCTACAACCTCAGACTTTAAATTTACTAAAAAAATATACTAGATTATTTGTAGAAGTTAGATGCTAGAAAATGCCAGTGTGTCGTCGGAAAGCTTGCTGATACGTTCGTACACCAAGCAAATATTTCGCAACCCAGGCTTTTTTAATACAATGAACTAGGATTATCTGTTCTCTTCTACTATACTCTGCTAACTAGTGTAAGAAGTTTGCTTCCGTTGTACAAGCTTTGTTGATCATCATCCCAGTAGAATCAAAAATCCGCTTACATTAATCTGTTACATATTGCTTACAATGATTCGAATTTACAAACTGATTCGTTGTCACTTGATACATCTTAGTAAAATTAAATTGATAGTTCACAAAGTATTGTAACGAGATGTGTTAACAGTTTACCTCACATCTATCTTAAGTCGATATTGATTTCATTTCTCATAAGTTGTATTTGAGAATCTCACATCCGCAACCATTGCACAGAATCTTAAACAGTACTGGGGAACTGTCATCAGAATTAATAACATCAATTGGTGTTCTTTAGGGCTATCCACTTTACTTATTTTTATTTAGTTTTGTCATGGACATTGTCCACTGAGTGAGTGGTCCTGAGGTTAGATGCAAGAATGACAAATCAGTTGATAATGTTGCAAATCATCATCCACCAAGGTGGTTGGGATATGTATTAAGTTATGCTCAACAGCTGTATACATCGATATGGGATATTGGATGGTGTAGAAGTGGATTAGAAAAAAGCCAAAGTTATCTAAGATAAACATGGTGTCAGCCCGTGAGGCCGTCAACAGTTGAACTGAGCTATGTAGGTTGGTATACTCTACTCGGTTGGTGTACATACGTTTATCTTCAATTACTGGAAAATTTGGACGACGTAACTCAGAGTTTTTCACAATGCACTCATTCACTCCTTATCTTTTTTTAGGTCCTAAGTTTAGGAATTTCTTCAAGCTCTTTTGTTTAGTGGATTCATATTTATCTCAAATAATATGGTTTACATTTAATATTTTTCACCACGGATATTATTACTACTTCTATTCTAGCACCTCACTTTACCGATGTGGTATAGCAACTTCAACAAGTGCTAAAATATGCCAGGTCCAAAGTTGGGTGTGACTAACTTAGTAAATCAACATACATACTGATATAAATGGAATTTAAAGATCACTAATAAAAGCTTCAAACAGCTTCAAAATTATAAATGGGAAGATTAGAGCAATCAGTCACAATGTATATGCATGCAATAGCAGGACTTCTGCTAATAAAAAGTTGATAATTGTTAAAGCTAATTTCTCTTTAAAGTTTGTAAATGTAATGCCTGGAAATTATTTAAATGAAGCCACCATATAGTACAATTATTACACTTAATCAAGAGTTCTGCCTACTTTATTAATCATTTGTTATCAAAGAAAAAACCATCACCCAGTGTTAACAGACGATATAACACAGCTAAGTTTTTCCTAAATCATATATGATTGGTAATTGCGATATTCTTCACTAATTTGAGAAAGGATGACAGAAATTATTCGTTATAAGTTACCCTCGCTGTTTTTAATGTGTTTCATCTTGCTTAGCTAACAGCAGTTTGATCGAATACCGGTAATAAAACGTGTGCTATTAATCTAGTTTATCACTATACTTAACATCTATTTTCTCTCAACTTCAAATTTGTACAATTAGGATGGAAATGATCTTAAAGATTCAGTGGAAGGTTATCCTGTCACAGAGCCTTGGTATATAGATAGAGATCCATATAATACTATTCATAATTCATTGATTATGTCATGGTGTGCTGGTGTGCCGGCCTTTCGTTTAGTCTCAACAAGACCTCCAATAAGTGGATATAAAGGAGATATAATGCCTACTGTAAGTTTTTTTCTAAATTAAAAGTGTTCGTTGTATGTAGATATTATTATTATCTGTGACTATTCAATGCAAATACGAGATTTTGAGTTAACTAGAAAGAAAAGAAAACAAGGAATTGAGTGTGGTATATATTTTTGAATTCACCTACTGTTCCTATGAACAGTACTCTTACTACTTCTACCAATATGGGATTTGAGTCGACAACTACATCTCTGTGCTAATGTGGTATGGCAACTCGAACTGATGTACGTACGTACGAAGTTCTACGTTGTAACTGACTGTTCCTATGAAACACGGTAAGTTAGGGTATGGTAATGGCCTTTGGACCCTGATTTTTAGTAATATCGAGGGTTGTTTTAAATCATTTAAATGTCTACAGATCTTAATCCCACTTAGAAATTTGTAACTCAAGAACGAATTCCTATGCAAAAAAATATACACATGAGCAGCAACCAGACTACAGTAATCTTTGAAATGATGTCTCCATTAGATACGATCATAAAAAACCATGATCTGACCTCACGGCAGGCACCATGTTAAATTTGCCAGGAATTATGGATATAAAGTATGTTTCCTTTCAAACCAAAGGGTTGCACACACTCCGATCTTTGTGAACCAGATGTACGTGCTGTTATGTAACGTGGATCGTACTATTTGGTAGGTTGCATTGTGAATTCTAATTTATGCAAGGTGGTCGGTTCCACATAACTTCCACCGATGCTAGAGCGTATGCTTAGAGACGTAGTCATGCTGCATCTCCGAAAAAAACATTAATACAGATAAGTATTGCAGTTATATTTTCTTCTCAGGTTCTCGAAAGTACCGTGCATGCTTATAATACTTCTTAACACAAATCGTCGGCGTGCTATGTGCTATTTTAGCAACCTATTTATTATAAAACAATATATTAATCTCCCTAGAGCTACAGAGTTTCTTCGGGGTTATTTCTATGATATCATCAACGATAAGTAGGGAAAAGTGGTTGACGATTATCCATGTACTTAGTTATTTTGTTTGATAAGTTGCTCACTTGATGGGAAAATGTAAACCGAATGTCACTAATCACTAAGAAAATCGACAGAGGTATATCGCTTCTTCTAAAGCTTACATTTAAGCTGTGATGATACCTCACTGTGAGGATTTGTGTATGCTAGCGCCTTGGTAAAAGCTGGGAAATCACAACAGGTAAATCTCCGAGCATAGCTGAGAAATGAAAATGTCGAGAGTGTACTGAAAAAAACTCGTTAGGCGCCTGAAATATATTTTCATTCAAAAGTAACTTAGTGTGATGTTTAATCTGCTTCAAAAGCAAAAATGATAAAACTCTAAAAGATGGTTAATAAGAGTAAAGAGAAAAACTATGTCAACATTTTGTAACTGTTGATATCTCGTAAACCAACAACTCATAAGTGCTCATATATAGTCATCAACATTCAATTACTTACTCCTGTATAGTCAGACTAGGCACTAACATACATCAGTTTGAAAACAACATTTTACGTTTAAATGGTGATAAAATACGTCTCCAAATTTCTTACATTGTTACTCGAGGAGTTTAGGAAACAGAATTTTGTCAACATCTTTATTAGGTAATAATACTTACGGATTCTAAGTCGATGAGAGATTTCCTATATAAGAGGGATTCATGAAAAGTCGGATAAAGGAAGCGCTACACCTGCGAGTATATAATTAATTTATTTTTTGATTAAGCTGTTTGTTGTGTAAATATCCCAATTTATATTTAGTCTAACATAGTAACCAACTGCTCATTATGATGATTAGTGATGTGTTACTCAAATCACCCGGAAGCATCATTATATATATATATATATATATATATATATATATATATATATATATATATATATATATATATATCAACATTTGGACTTGTCACTGTTATGCTTGTGGCCGAGTGGATAACTAATTGATGTGTGGCTTGATGAGACCGCCAATTAGGGAGCAGCGAATTGTCGATTGGAACAGTGACACGAAACCGTACGAGCAGTCTACAGTGCTAACCGATCCTGCGATCTGCCTAGCCCAACCAGTTAAGTCCAAACACCGATAACAGCCTCAGTTGTATAAATCATTATTTATAAACATACTGGGTTTTTATACAAACCAAAGTAATCAATAACTGAATATAACTCAAGAATCGTATGATAATAAATCAAAGATCAAAATAAAGCTCATGATAAGAGGAAACACGAATATGAATAGTTTAGTTACGTAACAATTGTACAATAGGAAATAGGCATAATACATTGGTCGATAAATAGACCTAAAAGTTAACATTCGTAATTCACCGGGGGATATAACAGTCACCAAACCTGATGATTGAGTTTAGGATTTAAACACAGTAAATCACACTCGTTTTATGGGCTCTTGTTAGACAAACTGTTGATAGTCTCCAAAATAATGATTTAATTTTAGCTTAGTTCTTTTCCTAACCAAACTTTTAATAGTACTTACTTCGTTACCCCTCGTGGAGGAGCATATACCACCCACCAGCATTCTCCATACAACTCTATCCTGGGCAATCCTTTCCGGTTGCTATTCATCCTTTTGATGTTTGATCCCGACCCCCGTCACAGTGTGTTCTTTGGCCTTCCTCTTTTTCGTTTCCCTTCAGGATTCCAAGTTAACGCTTGCTTCGTGATACAGTTTGATGATTTCCGTAGTGTATTTTTTTATCCACTTCCAGCGTCTTTTCCTAATTTCCTCTTCAACTGGAAGCTGGTTTGTTCTCTCACACAGTCAGAGGGCTGTTACTAACGGTTTTCGGCCAACTGATAGTGAGTATCTTGTGTAGACATTTGTCTATAAATACTTGTATCACTTTGATGATGGTTGTGGTAGTTCTCCAAGTTTTATCTCCGTACAGTAGAACTGTCCTGACTTTCTTATTGAAGATTGTGACTTTGACATTGGTTGATAGTCTTTTTGAGTTCCTTCAACTGTGGGGATGCGGCCCTTGCTTTGCTAATCATTGCCATTGTGTCTGCATCAGACCCTCCTTGTACATCGATGATGCTGCTAACCAGGTACGTGAAAGACTCAACATCTTCCAGAACTTGTCCATCAAATGTGATTGGGTTGGTGTTCTCCATGTTTGTATTTAAGGATCTTGATTTTTCCCTTGTGTATGTTGAGACTTGCTGATGCAGAGGCTTCTGCTAAACGGGTTGTATTGACCTTCATTTGCTAGTGTGTATGGGATAGAAGGACCAGGTGATCTGCGAAGTCGAAATCGTCTAGTCGCATTCAAGCTTTCCATTGTATTCCGTGCTTCACGTCAGATGTGGAGGTCTTCATAATCCATCCAACCATCAGAAGAAAGAGAAGGGGTGAGGGTAAGCAGACTTGTCTGACACCGGTCCTATAACAGTAGCATGGAATAAATATTAAACTGCCATTTGTTGGCCCATCATGACCGGTTTTTCAGGATGTTAAAGATTGTGCAGTTTACCAGTCATGGTTCAAAATCAAAACTGGTGGTAATCCATAGGTTAGGTTTATGTTGTATCTCATGAAGAAGAATATGGACGATCTTCATCAAACGGAACCTACCTCGATTATTTTCCTTAGCAAGTTTCCTCAACTTCATTTTTTTTATCTCATTTTTACTATTTAGATGCCAGATGAATCATTGAAACCGGGCAATCCAGATCCATTCGTGGGTGATTATGATAACAGTGATCAGGCGGATATTCTGCGTATCCTTCTACCTGGTTAGTCTTTGAATATAAAATCATTATTTTTTCTAAATTATTACTTCTTGACTTTCTTCTGTTGATCCTTCATGTCTCTGAACTAGAATAAATCAACAAACGTCCACTTTTATCTCACCTTTTTTAAAACACTCACCGCATAAAAGCAGTGAATAGGACTTCCCTAGAAGAGACTATAAATCCTTAGCCATACGAGAGCATTGGGAGAGAGAAGATCGGTTTTGTACCGAATATCGTACCAGGGTACTTGAAGATAAGAACTAGATAAATAATATATATATATATATATATATATATATATATATATATATGTAATGCTTGTTTTATTCAACTTTCGTAACTCATTTTCCATACATAGATTTTTGTACTTTGTCTCTAAGACACTTTCACTACGATACCCACCCAGTGATACCACTCGTCTTAGACCTGATTCATTAACAGTTGAAACCTAGATATCTTAATCGCTTAGTTACTGCACCAAGTTAAAAAAGAACAATAATAACAACAACTTATCGATACTCTACAGTGGAAACAACAATTCTATTTAGTTGGTGTTAGGCATTGTTAAAACATTTTGTATAATTAACTTTCTAATAGTGTATAAACATTAGTGTTTATCAATAATTATTGTTTATACACTATTACAAGTTAACTATACAAAATGTTTTGACAACGTCTATGAATCATCCGGTGTTGATCTTGTTGTGTCTAATGAGTGAGGTAATGGTAACTTAAACCAATGCATAAATATGCTTGGTTGTCCTACGTTGTAGCTGACTGACTACTGTATAAACATTAGAGATTATTAAAATGTGAATGTTAACAGATAAAAATATTTTATATTCAATCTAATACTGGTAATTTTATCTTTATTACTTAGTTCTATTTAGTTATTATGAAGTCTATTCATCATTATTTCAATGTTATTGTATAACAATTCGTGTAAATATTTTTATTCATTCATAAACATTAACTAACAATGATTACTTTAATTATTCCATATAATTATGAATAATGATCCGAAGGGGTTTTGTGGAAATTTCAGTAATTTCAATAGTTGAAATCATGGGTCAGTTGAAGTTAGACCACCATGGAAAATCTGGACTGGGTAGGTCCTGTGTTCGAATCTCGCGAGGCGGGATCGTCGGTACTCACTGCTGAGGAGTCGAACAATAGAACGAAACGGCCGTCCAGTGCTTTCAGGTTTTTCATGGTGCTCTAGCTTCAATTGACTCATGATCTTAACTATTGAAATTACTAAAATCTCCATACAAAAAAGACCCCTTCTAATAAAAATTATAGTCTAATTGTTTTCATTTTTTATGGATGTACTAATTATAGAGTGGAGATAATTTGTAATAAATCATTCCTGCTTCGGTTTGGGCACCCGGACAGTATCACAGCCCTCATACAAATCAAATAAGATTTGTGTGGCGCATATGTATCTGGTCCCGACCGTTGCTGCTACTTTGACGTGGTGGTCGGGCTTGCCTATCGTGATGAACCAATCGAGCTATACTGGCAGAAACAATCGTTCCTCAAGGTCCTACCATCCAGCACAGGTCGGTTGAAGAGCGGTGAGACTAAAAGCAGCAATCCCAAGGTCCGAAGGCGAAGTCGTACTGCTGACTGTACAGAGGTGTGAAAGCAGTAAGGTGTTTCCTTCAGACAAACAACATAACAGCGATGTTGCCTTCCCACAAGGAGGGGTGGGGTTAGAAAAGGTCGACCTTAAAAATGCACACCTCGCGTTATCCCGCGGCTTTCCGTCTCTGGCGGTAAGGTCCTTTGAAGAACGGAGCTAACACAAAAAGGTCGTGTGTGACCGACCTCAAGCAGTTGTCCCTTGGGCACTGCGGCACGCTCTCAGGTCATCAAGACCACTTCTAATTCAATTTCCTTTTCAGGTATTCCTAGAAGAACTCTTCAACGGTGTGGGCAACCGGGAAGTGATAACTGCCCTCATACCTCTAACAGCACTCAAAATATGTATCTGTTGCCCCTTTGTACCAATATTTATGTGTTCAAAGAAATCAATCATTATAAATCTGCATAGTAATTTATATTTTATTTGTTTTTAATTGAATTGATATTCAAGTTTTTGAGCAAAATATTACTTATTTCCCAGTTTATATTTCATACTGTTAACTAATGAAGTGGAGGTTAAGATAGTGATATTATTTTCATGATTAAAGTTTGATTGATGCACCGTTTGGTTGATGAGATTTTATACGATTTTCTTTTTATTAATTCAGCTTATTTTTCTACTTTATTGGATCACCCTTATCAAAATATACTAATTTGTGTCTTCTTCCTATTTACGTTAGATCGTGAAAATATTCGTCGAGTACGTAGTGTAGACATGGCTCCAGAGATGCAAGATAAATCAAGAAAATTAACGAAATCAGGTAAGCGATCTTTTTATTCTTTATTTATTTAAACACAAATATTGGTACAAATGGGCATCGAATATATATGCGCCACACAAATCTCATTTGATTTGTGTGAGGGCTGTGATACTGCCCAGGTGCCCAAACTGAAGCAGGTGGTTTTCTTAAGGGGCCACACCCGGAGCCTTTGATCTAAATATCTGATCCACAAGGCAATGGAGCATCGAGAGGAGATGCAGTCCCGTGGTAGCCGGAGACCAACGATTGGTTCATACGCCATTTGTTCCCTCAGGATACTGGAGCCCATATACACTATTGGTTTAGAATCAGGGTTTTCCAACTTCCGTAGGTGGACCCTCCATGTCCACCAACCCGGTTAAATCGTCGGACATTCGCTTTACATCCTCTCACTTTTGTGAACAACACCCCTGCCACGAGAAGGCAGTGAGTAGGACTTCCTTGTCAGGGGCTATATATACGCGTGGCCATGTGAGAGCATATGGATAGGGAGAGCGGACTCTACCTATTCTCTGCCGTATCAGGGCATTTGGGACCTTGTGACAAGTATAACTAGTAAAGTAGAAATGAGTAACCAATCAATTGACAACTAAGGTTAGTGGGAAAATACAAATGAGAAGAAAGTAATCATAAAAAATCGCATAACATGCTTAACACAATAAGTATTACCCATAAAATCAATTCATGTAATTTAAAGTTTATTTCAGTTGTTTCATATAAAATCATGATTTCTCTATATTTTTCTTTTCATTTTACTTATTACCATTTCAGACATTTCCAAATGTGAAATAGTAGATGTTCTTTTAGAAGATGCTACAATTACATCAACACATGATAATCATTCTGTATCAATACTTCGTGATGTAATCATGTCATGTTCATAAATAATCTAATCAAGTCAAAATAAAACGTCATGTTTAACTTTTTTGAAAAATCAATCTGCTTTTTTTTTTTTTTAATAATAATTAATAATTTAAAATATTTTTCTTCTCTCTCCCTCCCCCCCTTAATATAATATTCATTGTTTATCTTTTAATTTAACAATAACATAATGATCACAGTTTTAATTTCAATTCTATTAAATTGTTATAATTATGAACTGCATTTTTTTTTAAAAAAAAAAAATAAATTAAAATGTTGGGTAGTCATTATTCGATTAATTACTGATGTTATTGTTCGATTGATCGCTTTTTTTCTGTCCAATCATCTGGTCTAATCATACATTCATTAGTAATATTAATTGTTTTTTAATTATACTACTTATTATTAGTGTTATTCATCGACATATATTTGCATTTCTAATTATACTTATTCATTTTATTATTTCTTTAATGATACTTCTTTTTTTTGGTTTTAAAACAATCACTCATTCACTCAGTCACTCATATATACACCTTAATCATTTATGATAAACATTAATGATGATTATTATTATTGTTTTAATCAAGTACAATAACAAATTTAATTCATAATTGTTTATTAGTAATTGACTACTGATATTATCACATTATAAGTAGTAGTATAATTAATGTATAACTTGTATTTCATTAACTGTTCAAATTTCTATCATTAAACATTCATTATGTCAGAGAGACAAAAAAAAAGACTAATGTACAACTAATACATTATTGACACGTAATTTCTATTATAAAACAAACGTTTATTTCAATGGTATATAGTGTGTGAAATTGTTGTTATCTCTCTCTATATCTTAAATTTCATATATTATAACAGTTTACTCAACAACAACAACAAGTCCGAACAATAATAATAGTTCAAAGTGTCAGTTTTAAAGTTAAATTTATCAATGTAATCAGTAATTTCAAAATAATAGTTAAAATTTTTTTAGCTATTCATTAAATGTAACTTGTACGTTGAAAAAAAAGCTAGGGGTGGTCAGACCAAAACATAGCGTAAATCCATGAATTCACTAATAATTGGACTGAGTCATGTTGGTAGGTGTAGATTACCTGGTTGGGATCAGCGAGATGATAGCAATCGATGGTTTAGAGAACTTGAATGATATGGCTCAAAATCGTTTGCAATAGTGAAGGTGTATTCACTCGTTGTGATCTGCTAAATTCTAATCTTCTGAATTCTTCATTTCCCTTTCTTTTTTTTCTCTTTCCACATTTATCTTACTGGATTACACTCCTTCAATAACATCTTCAAACCCTTATCTTTCACATAATGCTTATACTCTTACTACTTCTACCATATGAGATTTGAATCGACATTGTGCCAATGTGGTATGGTAACTCGAACTGATGTACGTACGTACGTACAAAGTTCTACGTTGTGACTGACTAACACTGCTTCATTACACTCTGGTTTCTGAAAATGTAGCAATCGTGCAATTGATGAAGCACCTATTCAGTAGCTTATGATCATTTATCTGTCAATTAAGCTTCTTACGATTTCAATAAGTAATATAATGTATTCCTTTATTGGAACAACTCGAGAGAATGCATAGTCTAAGTAAGTATCGTTGATTTATTGGTATCTGACAATCCTGAGTATTTTGTAGGTTCGGTTAAATATTTATTTGTTTAATACAAACAAGTAATTCATAAATGATTTATTTGGAATAGGCTAAATTGGTAGACTTATCATGAGAGTTGTTAACATAAAAGTGGAAAAACAGCTTTGCTAAACATGCTTGATTACTAGTAGAAAAAAACAACCGACAAATCTCAGTAGAACTTTGTCCTTAAATTTTTCCTTCAGTTTCTTACAGATCTAACACCGACCGCATTGATGTGGTAGAGTTTTAAAGTCTAATTACTTTAGCTAATATAGTTAAATTGAACTGTCATAATCGTTTCGCTTACTATCTCAAGGTAATAGTTACAGTCGGAGTGGTAAACGATGTTACCTGGTTTTGTGCGCAAGTGATATTTGGAATCATTATCTGAGCAAAACACAACGTATCCAACGACTTACACTATTCTTTCTATTAACAACAAGAATATGTTGATCATGAGTGTAACGGACATTAGTGCCCAACCATCTAGTTACCCATTCTCGGTCGTACAAGACTTCTGGTCGATATAGTATGACTATGATACCTTTATTCCTCCCACAACGAAGTCTTAACGCGATCAATCTTATTATAGGAGACCAATCAAACCAGGGTTTGAACTACCGTAGTCGTTGATCTTTTTATAAATCATGACCAATATTTGAGATGTTGACTTCCTGAGTCTCTACGTTTTGTTAATTGATATAGACAGTGAATAAATCAAAACCACGATTTTCACGTTTTGAAATCTCACAAACATATCCTTGCTAGTATCATGCAGTTATAACTAGCATTCATAAAACCAAATTACCGATCCGACTGTAGTTTGCATGTCATTCATTATCCGTTCATGATAGTGAGTCGGACTTTGGGGATTATCTTTGAATAAATTAGCTGTAACGAAAATATGATACATCGTACGGCTAAGAATCATCAATCGATTGAATAGCCGCCCATATAGACCACTTACTTCACTACAAAAGATTGTTAAATACACCAGGATGGAAATTTTATTTATTTAAACGCATAAATATTGGTACAAGGAAGTACCAGACACATGCGCCACACAAATCTCATTCGATTAGTGTGAGCTGTGAAACTGCCCGGGTGCCCAGACCGAAGCAGATGATTTTCTTAGGGGACCACACCCTGAGCCTTTGACCTGAATGTCTGATCCACAACACCCCATCCTGTTACGAGAAGGCAGTGAGTAGGACTTCCGTGACAGAGGCTATATACGCGTGGCCGTGTGAGAGCATTTCGAGAGGGAGAGCTGACTCTCCCCACTCGGGTCTAGGATGAAATCCATATTTGTGATTTAATAGATTTAAGATACTAATATCCAGACAACTATATCAAACTACACTGAAATCTATGATATCAAATTAAACACAATAGATCAATTTATATATTGTCTCCAATCTATTCGTTCACAACAAATTAAAACACATTGACTTTTTTTAAATGCACAACAAAATAAAGCGGAATTTCGAAATAAAATATACAAATTAAAATAATAAACATCAGGGAAACGAGAAAAAAAAACATAAACAAAAGAAAAGAAAGGAAACTGCTTACTTGGAAAGTAAATCAGTGTTCAAATGAATCTGGAACAAAGTGTTACTTTACACACACACACACACACACACACACACACACACATAGACTAATGAATCCAATAATTATGAGCATCAATAGCTTGTAATGGATTTGGTGCAGGTAATGCTAATGGTTCATGATTTCTTATGATATTCTCTTCATCCATATCATCTACTTCATCAATAATCATTTCAGGCAGTTGATTCCCTAATATTTCTGCATTCATATCCGGTATTGAGTCGATAATTGTACAAAATGGATATAAATACCGTAGTTTAATTAAATTACCTGAATGAATTTCTGGACAAAATGATACATCTAATAATTTTAATTTTGAACATTGATTAAGTATAGAAGTAATAGCAGAGATTGTAATATTTGTTGAACCATGGATATCTAATTGTTCTAATGTAGCACCTACATATTGACTAATTAATAAGAGTTCTTCAGAATTGAGGAGGCTAAAAGAGAAAACATTAATTTTGTTTAAAAAAAGAGCCAGGGTAAGAATAAGACTGAAAAAACTAAGCCCCCAAATGCCCTGGTACGGCAGAGAATGAGGAGAGTCCGCTCTCCCTCTCCATATGCTCTCACATGGCCACGCGTATATATAGCCTCTGCACGGAAGTCCTACTAGCTGCCTTATCATGGCGGGGTGGGTTGTTGTTTACGAAATTGAGAGGACGAAAAGCGAATGTCTGACACTTTAACCGGGTTGGTGGACATGGAGGGTCCACCTAGAGGAGTTGGGAAACCCTTATTCTAAACCAATAGTGTATATGGGCTCCAGTATCCTGAGGGAACAAATGGCGGAGGAAACAATCGTTGATCACCGGCTACCACGGGACTGCATCTCCTCACGATGCTCCATTGCCTTGTGGATCAGATATTTAGATCAAAGGCTCCGGGTGTGGCCCCTTAAGAAAATTACCTGCTTCAGTTTGGGCACCTGGGCAGTATCACAGCCCTCACACAAATCAAATGAGATTTGTGCGGCGCATATATATCTGGTGCTTCCCTGTACCGATATTTATGTGTTTAAATAAAATAAATGAAATAACATCAGGTCAAATGGAATAGATCTCAACAAACTAGAACAACAGACCGGATTATACTCCTTCAATAACATCTTCACTTCAAACCCTAATCTTTCACATTACTGCTTATACTCTTACTATTTCTACCACTTTGGGATTTGATGAATCGACAACTGAATTTCTATGTTAATGTGGTATGGAAACTCGAACTGATGTACGTACGTATGTACGAAGTTCTACGTTGTGACTGACTGGAACTGCTACTTACAATTATTGGAGATCACAATAATTAGCGTAGCTTCTAACAACTTGATTGATTACTGATGACCTTGATAGTGTGACTTACTTACTTACTTACTTACGCCTGTTACCACTCGTCGAGGAGCATAGGCCGCTCACCAGCATTCTCCATCCAATCCTGTCCTGGGCAACCCTTTCCATTTTTTTCCAGTTAACATTCATCCTTTTCATATCTGCTTCTATTTCCCGGCGTAATGTGTTCTTTGGCCTTTCTCTTTTTCGTTTCCCTTCCGGATTCCAAGTTAGGGATTGCCTTGTAATGCACATTGGTGATTTCCTTAATGTATGTTCTATCCACTTCCAACGTCTTTTCCTAGTTTTTATTGATTGTTTTATTTTGGATGATATACCATATTGCTTACATATCTAATTGTCTTATCTTGGAAACGATTAGTTGAATGTCTCCATTTTCTCCCTCTTGATCTTATTATTCACATGCTATTGTTATTGTCCAGATAATTCAGTAATACTGACTCAATTTGTATTATTACAGATATTTCCTATCCTCATGACTTCGGATTCAATAAACAATATTCCTACCTAATAATAATTTAATAGTTGTCGGCTACAGCAAGATAATACTCTAGATTCGTGATGTGATATACAAGTTAATCGAACGGGGAAGCGAAATTCAATTTGACACTATCAGACTACAATAATAGCCACACGATACACATATTACACAATCTCCGATCGACAACTGAACACCAGACAATATATCTTGGAGAAGATTTGTAGCTCAGATGGATGATTTTGGAGGAGTTTCGGTCTCTGAGCTGGATGGTTTAGTCGTGGAACTTTCATCGTCCTTCTAAACGATATCATAAGCAGCACAAACTTCAGGTTGAAGTGAAGTGCTCGAATTTCTCCATATATGGTTCACAGCTTATCCTTTAGACCTCGATGTTGATTGGTTCTTGTTGACCTTAAACCTGTCATTGTTTACTTATTTGCTTTGGTTGTATCTCCAATAGGTTTGATGTTTGTTCCTATGTTTCGGCATAATTTCCCTGATTGGTTGATAAATTGGATTGATTTCCATGTGCTTGTTTATTGCTGATTGACCTGAGTGCCAAGCTTCTAAAAATTCTCTGGTGTTTATGGAATTGCCTCTATCCAAAATCTCCACATTTTCCCAGTCCAATCTGTGTCCGCAGTTGTCCACGTGCATTGATATAAGTGAAGACATGTCATGGTGTTTGACTGTTAATTGATGTTCATGCAGACGAAGATGAAGAGGGCGTCCGCTTTGTCCGATGTAGTGTTTGTCGCTGTAGGCACAATTTACTTTGTAGATAATGTTTGGTTTGTCTTCTTTTGTCATTTCATCCTTTGGTTTGCATAAGATTGAATGGAAGGATTTTGTTGGTTTGTGAACAACACCTATTCCTAAGGTTTTCAGCAGTCTCATTTCCGTTTCCGAAATACCTTTTATGTATGGTAAGGTGATCCTTTTGTTGATTTCTGTATTTGATTTCGTTTCTGATGATGTGTGCGACTGGTATTTTTTGATGAAATTGATTGGAAAGCCGTTCTTTTGAAGAATGTTTTTCTGATATTTTGCTTCATTTTTCAGTGCTGTAATTGTGTTGCAGTGTGTCCTCACCCTCTTGAACAAGATTTTTACGTAGTTGATTTTGTGAGTTCTTGGGTTGTTGCTATTGTAGTTGAGAATCTGATCACTGTGTGTCGGCTTCCTGTACACTTGGGTCATTGAAGACGTTGTTGATCTGCCTGTAGGTGTTTTCTAGTTCATCCTTTTTGATGATGACGAATGTGTCGTCTACATCACCATCGAGGTGTACAGGACAAGCTGTGAATCACATGTGGAGAAATTCAAACATTTCACTTCTACCTGAAGTTTGTGCTAATGATGTCGTTCAGAAGGACAATGAAAGCTTCACGACCAAACCATCTAGCTCAGAGAATAAAACTACATCAAATAAAACAATCGATCATAACTACAACAATCACAGTGTGAAATCTGAAGAGTTACAGTGAGATCTTTCTTTAAGATATAACACTAAACAGTACAGTAATCTTAGATAGAGAAGCTAGTTTGCTTTCGATCAGTGGCTAAACATACCTCACTACCACACTACATATTAAAATCATGACAATAACGTCATACAATATTAATGATACATGAATAGAGATTGATAAGCATGAAAGTCAAAAATTAAACTCACTTTGTTCCGGTTAAGAATAATTTCTTCAAATGTTGAACACGACTAGTTAAATGTACAATACAATTTGATTCTTGTGTTGAAACTACATTACGACACCAACCAATGTCTAATTCTTCTAATTGTAAACAATGTTCTGATATAGACGATATCCCTATGGCAGTTAAACTATTGCATCGCCATAAGTTTAATGAACGTAAATTTCTAGAAGACAATATGATTAAAACGACAGGAATGGGTTGTGGTAAACATAAAATATAAAGAGACTACAGCAAACTATGTGAACAAGATGAATCAAGATATCTTACAGACAGCTAAAATCTAATATTCCAAAAGGCTCAGTTGACTTTGGAAACTTGCATCACTTGTGACATAGACGAGATGTATGTCAGCCAACAATAAGATGAGCTTACTGAGTAGTAGTTCCTTTTGTTTTACTTTGTGGTTGCAAAACATGGCTATTATGATAGTATATTCATATGTTACCTGTTATGACTCGTTTAACAATCGTTATTGTATATGAAACGTGCAATGATACAGAAAATACGTACGAGCAGTCTTGATTGCTATTCGGTCCTTCCTAACTGCCTAGCCCAGCCAGTTGAGTCCAGAACACAAATAACAGCCTCGGAAATATGAATCATTATTCACAAGCACACTGGGTTATATATACTAACCAAACAGACCCAATTATACCAAAAAATAGAAAAATAACATTTGTACAGTAATTGGCCAATGTGGCTGTAGCTAGGGGGAAAGTAATCAATAATAATAGTTCCAAGGTCAAAACAAAGGTTGTGATAAGAGGAACACGGAAACGATTAGGTCACTTATTTAACAACTATCCAATAGGGAATGGGCATATTGTATTTGTCCATAAATAGACATCAGATTTAGGTTACTCATTTAACAACTATCCAATAGGAATAGGCGTATTACATTTGTCCATAAATGGACATCAGATTTATGATTCATAATTCGCCAGGGGATACAACACCTCCCCTTTTTGAGAAATCCGGATTTTTAATTTTCTCGAATTCACCCTCCCCCACGAAAGACTGTTGGATCCTCATATAGCCAAGTTATTATTAATGCGATATGTTTGTCACCTTTAACAGGGAATGCATTAGAACTGAAGAGATCATGAGGATCGACGACATTTGATTCGAGGTCACCAACATTTGGTTCTTCTGAAATAGTTTTCTTGAATTTCCTCGGAACCTCATTAGTAGATAATGAATCATTAGGATAATCAGTATCTATGAGAGTTGTATTGGATTCTTGATTATCTTTAAATACATCTGACATTTTTCTCTCATTTTTATAAGAGAATTCAACAGAAACATATGAATCATCAGAATAATCTAAATCTGGTAGAACAATTACAGAATTTTGATCATTAGATTCATTAGAAACATTTTCCGTATCATGATTAATTTCATTTGGTGCCACTGTATTCCATATACTGCTCGATTTGTTTCCCGTTTCTTCGTGGGCGGGTACTGCAGCAATTTCATGAGCATTTTGTAAGACATTTACTTTCTGTGAATAGGATAATTCATTGTTTGCACGTCCGTTTTCGGGATTAATAAGACTTGGACCGTGTACAGGGCATGTCTCTGAAACAGGTAGTACTGGGTTACTGGGCTGATCATGTATAACTGCTGCGCTTAAAATATTGCTTTGTATGGATTCATTGAGGCTTTCGCCGGCATATTCATTAGTTCTGTAACTGTTTTCCAGCTCTGTACGCAATTTTGAAATTATTGCGTCCACTTCCGTTTCACCCCCAAAGCATGGGTGATTCAGCAGCTTCGCGTGTAATTTGTCAATGAAATCCAATTGACTCTTTCTGAAGCGCTGCTCTTGTCGCTGGATTAGCAACTGAAATTGGTCGCAAGTTAAGGCCATTTTTTTAAATGTAAATAATAATAATAAATCCAAAAAAACAACGGCAATTATTATGGATTATTTAATTCCGAAATGACGTCAGCGGCTGCTGTATTTTTTTCCAGAATCCCCGTCGCCAATTGTTATGACTCGTATATCAATCGTTATTGTATATGAAACGTGCAATGATACAGAAAATACGTACGAGCAGTCTTGATTGCTATTCGGTCCTTCCTAACTGCCTAGCCCAGCCAGTTGAGTCCAGAACACAAATAACAGCCTCGGAAATATGAATCATTATTCACAAGCACACTGGGTTATATATACTAACCAAACAGACCCAATTATACCAAAAAATAGAAAAATAACATTTGTACAGTAATTGGCCAATGTGGCTGTAGCTAGGGGGAAAGTAATCAATAATAATAGTTCCAAGGTCAAAACAAAGGTTGTGATAAGAGGAACACGGAAACGATTAGGTCACTTATTTAACAACTATCCAATAGGGAATGGGCATATTGTATTTGTCCATAAATAGACATCAGATTTAGGTTACTCATTTAACAACTATCCAATAGGAATAGGCGTATTACATTTGTCCATAAATGGACATCAGATTTATGATTCATAATTCGCCAGGGGATACAACACCTCCCCTTTTTGAGAAATCCGGATTTTTAATTTTCTCGAATTCACCCTCCCCCACGAAAGACTGTTGGATCCTCATATAGCCAAGTTATTATTAATGCGATATGTTTGTCACCTTTAACAGGGAATGCATTAGAACTGAAGAGATCATGAGGATCGACGACATTTGATTCGAGGTCACCAACATTTGGTTCTTCTGAAATAGTTTTCTTGAATTTCCTCGGAACCTCATTAGTAGATAATGAATCATTAGGATAATCAGTATCTATGAGAGTTGTATTGGATTCTTGATTATCTTTAAATACATCTGACATTTTTCTCTCATTTTTATAAGAGAATTCAACAGAAACATATGAATCATCAGAATAATCTAAATCTGGTAGAACAATTACAGAATTTTGATCATTAGATTCATTAGAAACATTTTCCGTATCATGATTAATTTCATTTGGTGCCACTGTATTCCATATACTGCTCGATTTGTTTCCCGTTTCTTCGTGGGCGGGTACTGCAGCAATTTCATGAGCATTTTGTAAGACATTTACTTTCTGTGAATAGGATAATTCATTGTTTGCACGTCCGTTTTCGGGATTAATAAGACTTGGACCGTGTACAGGGCATGTCTCTGAAACAGGTAGTACTGGGTTACTGGGCTGATCATGTATAACTGCTGCGCTTAAAATATTGCTTTGTATGGATTCATTGAGGCTTTCGCCGGCATATTCATTAGTTCTGTAACTGTTTTCCAGCTCTGTACGCAATTTTGAAATTATTGCGTCCACTTCCGTTTCACCCCCAAAGCATGGGTGATTCAGCAGCTTCGCGTGTAATTTGTCAATGAAATCCAATTGACTCTTTCTGAAGCGCTGCTCTTGTCGCTGGATTAGCAACTGAAATTGGTCGCAAGTTAAGGCCATTTTTTTAAATGTAAATAATAATAATAAATCCAAAAAAACAACGGCAATTATTATGGATTATTTAATTCCGAAATGACGTCAGCGGCTGCTGTATTTTTTTCCAGAATCCCCGTCGCCAATTGTTATGACTCGTATATCAATCGTTATTGTATATGAAACGTGCAATGATACAGAAAATACGTACGAGCAGTCTTGATTGCTATTCGGTCCTTCCTAACTGCCTAGCCCAGCCAGTTGAGTCCAGAACACAAATAACAGCCTCGGAAATATGAATCATTATTCACAAGCACACTGGGTTATATATACTAACCAAACAGACCCAATTATACCAAAAAATAGAAAAATAACATTTGTACAGTAATTGGCCAATGTGGCTGTAGCTAGGGGGAAAGTAATCAATAATAATAGTTCCAAGGTCAAAACAAAGGTTGTGATAAGAGGAACACGGAAACGATTAGGTCACTTATTTAACAACTATCCAATAGGGAATGGGCATATTGTATTTGTCCATAAATAGACATCAGATTTAGGTTACTCATTTAACAACTATCCAATAGGAATAGGCGTATTACATTTGTCCATAAATGGACATCAGATTTATGATTCATAATTCGCCAGGGGATACAACATTACCAGTATTCTATTGTAGGTGTCATGTTTCTGTACTTTAATTCCATCAAGTGAACAATGCTGAGGTTAGGCATAATGTAACTGGTAAACATGACAAATCGGTTGGTGAAGTAACAAATCTCCATCAACTGAAGTAGTTGTGATATTTATTACGTATGCAACAGCACCACCTGATTTGATGGGTGGTGTTAGCTGATATAGAAGTAACTTGATAGAAAGTCAGGAGATATCAAACCAATATATGATGACATTTCATGCCATGACTATTGGACTGAGCTGTGTAGATGGGCGACTACCTAGTAGGGGTCGAGGCAATTATTGTAACTAATGGTTGAATATTTTAGGTGACAAGTCTCATAACCAAGTGCAGTGATGCAGATGTATCCACTTTCATTTTCCACTTATATCTTAATACACGATATGTTCTTATGCTATCTACTTTTTCTACGCAATCTTTTCTACTACTGTTATGACTTATACTACTGGGATTTGCCTTGATGGTCCCATCTCATTGTGCTAATATGTTGTGGTAACTTGAACCGATGTATATGTAAGTAAGGTTCTTCGTTGCGTCTGACTGACATAATAATTATCGAGGAAAGGAGACTATTCAGTAATAGAATAATTAATTACGATGTTGAACGATAAGAAATCTTTTGGGTTCGAATCTCGCGAGTGCGGGATCGTGGATGCGCACTGCTGAGGAGTCCCTTAGTAGGACGAAACGGAGGTTCTATGCTTCCAAGTTTTCAATGGTTTTCTAACTTCAATCGTTTCATGATCTCAATCGAAAACTTAACAATCTCCACAACCCCATACTGATAAATCTTCTACTGTTAGATTACCACCGTACATAAAATGTGTTCTTAGTTGCAGTGGATCATTTTTCAGTGTTAGAACAACTCTAAATACTCCCCAATGATTGATAGAGACCATTTTCGTGTGCTCATGTATGTTGAGGTCTATGTACACGTTTTGGTTACGAACGATATAGATTAGTATAACAGTATATCTTATATAGTTGTTTATATCCTTGACTTGAAAAGTGTAAGCGATGATTAATAATAGTGACTTGCTTGAGATTTGTATTTCGAAATTCGGGCATCTATCGGGACCCAGATAGTATCCGAGCAAAACTATGGTCCTCAATAACATAATATGGTAGAAGAATTTGAGCGTTAACAATTATACTACTCGCAAGTAACTCAAATATTTTAATCGAAATTGCTGGTTTTCATCTGATACCTGGATTTCAAAGTTTGGGGTCTTTTAGTCTCATAAGCCAATTTAGTATACTGTGCGGACATTTTTGATTAAAGAAGCCAGTAGTCTTAAAATTTACAACGTTATGATCAGTACAAATTATCATTGACTAGTAGAATTTTTGATAGTACGTTTGTTAAATGTGTACACATCATTTGAGTTTCATTGATTACAAACAATGTGCAAACGGTAAGTCCCGATCGTGAAGCAAAGAATCTCGAAAGAGAGATTGTTATTAAAAAGGTAGCAGAAGTATAAATATTTATAAATCCTAAATTCAATAGTTATCTAAGAATCAAACCAGAATCATCAAAAATATACAAATCTTCCCAATGTAAAATTTGATTCAATCTCGTCTCTTACATACAATGGAAAATACAGAGATTCGAGCCGACAACCCTTTTTTTATTTAAACACATAAAATTTTAATACAAAGGGGCACCAGATAAATATGCGCCTCACAAATCTCATTTGATTTGTGTGAGGGCTGTGATACTGCCCACGTTCCCAGACCGAAGTAGGTGGTTTTCTTCAGGGGCCACATGCGGAGCCTTTGACTTAAAGGTCTGATCCACAAGGCAATGGAGCATCGTAAGGAGATGCAATACCATGGTAGCTGGTGACCAACGATTGATTCATACGCCATTTGTTGCCTCAGGATACTGTAGCTCATGTGCACCATTGGTTTGGAATCAGGGTTTTCAAACTCCCCTAGGTGGATACTCCACATCCACCAACCCGGTTAAAGCGTCGGGCATTCGCTTTTCGTCCTCTCAATTTCGTAAACAACAGTAATATCATGAGAAGGCAGTGAGCAGGACTCTGCTGGCAGAGGCTATATATGTGTGGTCACTTGAGAGCATTAGGAGAGGGAGAGCGGACTCTCACCACTCTCAGCCGTACCAGGGCATTTGCGGGCGCCGACATCCTTAGATTTTGAGTATTAAAGGAGTTTGTAATACCTCTGCTACTTTCCTTAGCCACATAAAGATAAATTTATAGAAGACTTTACTAATTCATCCTATGCATTGTTTGCTTCTGTTTATCACTTTCGAAAATCTTTATCACTTCTTATATTAACATACACACTTTACTAGATAATTTTCTAACAACTGTATTAAAAAGATAATTTTTTCAGATTTCGATGCCCTTCTTGTATTGAATCTTCTTCTATTAAAGTTGTTATCATCTTAAACACTACTTGTTCATATGTTATGTTATCACTAGTGACTGTCTCTATAAGGTATTTCCTGGAGTTCTAGTGAGAAGCAGTAACCAGTGGAGTTTAACCAGGTCTGTTATGAGATATCAACTCAATGAAGACATTGGTGAAATGGTTGCTCAACTTCGTGGATTAGTTGAAGTTAAACATTAACACCGTTGGATGCCGGCCGGCTCAATGGTCTAGTGGTTAAGCGCTCGCGCGCTAGACTGATAAGTCCTCGGTATGAATCTCGCGAGGCGGGATCGTGGATGCGTACTGCTGAGGAGACCCACAATAGAACAAAAACGGCCGTCCAGTGCTTCCATGTTTTCCATGGTGGTCTAGCTTCAATTGACTCATGATCTCAACTATATGTATATATAACAGTAGCTTAGAGTAAAGACTTGAAATGTAAGTAAATTATAAATATTAATAATGATGATTTACTTACGGATTATTTCTTGTTAGATTATGTAATATATGATCAATATCATTGATATCTATACATGAACCAAGATTAACATGTTTTAAATATTGACATAATTCAGCTAATATGGCTAAACCATTATCAGTAATATGTGTACGATAAAGGGATATCCATTGTAAATGAATTAATCGACCCAATGTTAAAAAACCATATGATGTAATACCAAGACATGATGATAAATCAAGTTCTATATTCATCAAAACAAATAAGGAAGAAATATAAAGAATACAAAGTATTAAAGAAATTCTATGTTAAGCAAAGATGGATAGTAGCTAGTAGTAGAATCCAGTTTGACGTGTGTTTCGTCCTATTTGGGACTCGTCTGCTGGATGTACCTGCATCTCAGACATGTTGATGTTCACTCTGGGACTCGAACTCGGTACTTTTTGCTTCAAATATCATCGCGTTATTCACTCAGCTACTGAGTCCTGATAGCCACTTGCTTGAGCAATGGGGTGAAGTTTAAATTCACTTAGTATTGTTTCTTTGAATCTTCCCATTGATGTTTTAGGACTGCAACTGGTCAAAATTCTATGTTATATCCTAGCGAAGAAATAAATACGGGTAACTTCGGGGATCTATTAATGGACTATTATTCGATATATATTCTCATTTTTTCATAGTTTTAAAGCATGAGTCAATTGAAGCTAGACCACCATGGAAACCTGGAAACACTGGACGGCCGTTTCGTCCTATTATGGGACTCCTCAGCAGTGCGCATCCACGAACCCGCTCGCGTGAGATTCGAACCCAGGACCTACCAGTTTCGAGCCGAAGCCGTTAACCGATAGACCACTGAGCTGGCATCCAACGGTGCTTTAAAACTATGAAAAAATACTAAATCTCCACAAAACCCCCTCTGATATATTCTCATTGTTTAACTATTGAGTAATTAAATTGTATATATCTATATTCATCTTATTATAATGTTTATTTTGACCTATAGATTATTATTATTATACGAATTACTGTCCTCTAAATTACATTCAGTTTATTGATTATTGTCTCCCACATTCACAGCCACATTTGACTTGATCTTGTACAAATATTATTATCTATTTTATGATGTGATACGGTCTGTCTCTCTGCTATATAAACCGAGTACACATGAAATAAATGATTCGTATAGCAGAAGTTGTAATTGATGTTCTAGACACAATTGAAAGGACTAGGCGGACAAAGGATCAATAAGGACGCTAAATTGCTCATAGTGGTTGAACGTCATTGATTTGGTACAGTGTTAAGACTCGACAAGTCATATTTGGAATGGTAGATAACTCACGTGATAAAAGCCGAACATAAAGTCAATAACCAATTGGCATGCGGTCTTCTTTTAGAAAGTCATAACATTGTATAAATAGATTTGTTTAGTCATTATTCTGTAAATGAATCCTTTGAGTATTAGTTTACTGTAAAATTTAAGTTGAGTATTCTAAAATAAACATTTGTTGTTTCAATTTAAGTTGGTTTATATTTATTTATTATCCAATCAACTTCATCAACAACGAACAAACAAAAGGGACGCCAGTGGGATCGCCAATATCAGGACTTATCGCAGAAGCAGTAATGCGAAGACTAGAAACCACGATTCTACCAGTGATCGAACCAAAAGTTTGGATTGGTTATGTAGACGACGCATTCGTCATCGTCGAAAAGGATGAACTAGAAAACACCTACAGGCAGATCAACAACGTCTTCAGCGACATCAAGTTCACCATGGAACAAGAGTCAAACAACAAGCTACCATTCCTAGATATATTAATCACCAGAACCGACACAGGAAAACTTGAGACTCAAGTGCACAGGAAGCCGACACACAGTGATCAGATTCTCAACTACAATAGCAACAACCCAAGAACTCACAAAATCAACTACGCAAAAATCTTGTTCAAGAGGGTGAGGACACACTGCAACACAATTACAGCACTGAAAAATGAAGCAAAATATCAGAAAACCATACTCCAAAAGAACGGCTTTCCAATCAATTTCATCAAAAAATACCAGTCGCACACATCATCAGAAACGAAATCAAATACAGAAATCAACAAAAGGATCACCTTACCATACATAAAAGGTATTTCGGAAACGGAAATGAGACTGCTGAAAACCTTAGGAATAGGTGTTGTTCACAAACCAACAAAATCCTTCCATTCAATCTTATGCAAACCAAAGGATGAAATGACAAAAGAAGACAAACCAAACATTATCTACAAAGTAAATTGTGCCTACAGCGACAAACACTACATCGGACAAAGCGGACGCCCTCTTCATCTTCGTCTGCATGAACATCAATTAACAGTCAAACACCATGACATGTCTTCACTTATATCAATGCACGTGGACAACTGCGGACACAGATTGGACTGGAAAAATGTGGAGATTTCGGATAGAGGCAATTCCATAAACACCAGAGAATTTTTAGAAGCTTGGCACTCAGGTCAATCAGCAATAAACAAGCACATGGAAATCAATCCAATTTATCAACCAATCAGGGAAATTATGCCGAAACATAGGAACAAACATCAAACCTATTGGAGATACAACCAAAGCAAATAAGTAAACAATGACAGGTTTAAGGTCAACAAGAACCAATCAACATCGAGGTCTAATGGATAAGCTGTGAGTCATATGTGAAGAAATTCAAAAACTTCACTTCAACCTGAAGTTTGTGCTGCTTATGATATCGTTCAGATGGACGATGAAAGCTTCACTACTAAACCATCCAGCTAAGAGACCAAAACTCCATCAACAAAAGATTAACATCAATCAACATACATGATACGGAAAGTTAGTCACAAACATGACTATACATGAAAGATAAATACTTATCGTACTCAACCCCTCTCTAATTACTTCAATTAGATATAATACCCTTCACATTAAAACATATAGCTGAAAGCTGAGTGCAATAATCAGTGCTTAGTTACTGAGCTATATTTCTTATCAATAACCATATTGTTTATATCCGTTTTTCAACATTATGATGAAGCGAATATAAATTATAATCTTATATATATAACTCCGCCTGTAGCTCCTCCGGTGACTACTGCCGGTCACAAGCCCGGGTAAAAGAGGAGGAGGGTTGGGAATGGGGTTAGCGACCCCATCCCTTAGAAAACAAACTCGCTAAAAAAACGCTAACCAGAAAGAAATATATATTTAAATGTTTCCTACTCACCTTTTATATATGGACAAGTATTGACAATATGTAACAAGCAATCATCATTAAGAAATTTACAACTCGACAAACGTAATGTAGTTAAATAACGACAAGCATCGGTAAGAAAATGACCAAATGCAGTTGGTGATATCTGTAAAGCAGAAGAAAAAATAAAAAGCCCACCCCAACCCACGAAAAATTCGATAACTTTTTTCTTTCTTTCAAAATCAATATCATCATGAATAGAATATTGTTCAAAGGATCAACTTGATTTTGAATCCGATCAATTTTTCAGGTCGATTAATCGTTATCATTTTTTTTTCTTCTTCAAAAAAAATCAATACTTGTGGACTTTTCCATATAATGAAGAATTGTCTTATTAGATAGAACATTCTTATTTATAATGTGTATGCACTTTTACCTATGTACTATTTTTGATAAATAGTCTTGTAATATATATAATGTTCTAATTATTTCTAGTTTTTAGTTATTTACTTACTTACTTACGCCTGTTACCACTCGTCGAGGAGCATAGGCCGCTTACCAGCATTCTCCATCCAACTCTGTCCTGAGTCTTCCTTTACAGTTGCTATTCATCCTTTTCATATCGGCTTCTATTTCCCGGCGTAGTGTGTTCTTTGGCCTTCCTCTTTTCCGCTTCCCTTCCGAATTCCAAGTTAGGGATTGAGTCGTGATGCACATTGGTGATTTCCTCAATGTATGTCCTATCCACTTCCAACGTCTTTTCCTAATTTCCTCTTCAGCTGGAAGCTGATTTGTCCTCTCCCATAAAACGCTGTTGCTGATAGTATCCGGCCAATGGATGTTGAGTATTTTGCGTAAACAACTGTTTATAAATACTTGCACCTTCTTGATGATGAATGTAGTAGTTCTCCACGTTCCAGCTCAGTACAGTAGGACTGTCTTGACGTTCGTATTGAAGATTCTCACTTTGAATTTCGTTGACAGTTGTTTTGAGTTTCATATGTTCTTCAATTGTGGAAATGCTGCCCGTGCTTTGCCAATCCTCGCCTTTACATCTGCATGAGATCCGCATTGTTTATGAACGATGCATCCCAGATACGTGAATGTTTCCACCTCTTCAATTTAGTTTTTAGTTGCTTTCAACAAATTGAAGATCTATCTATAGAGAAAGATATGATATATAATCCTTATAATTACAGGTCAATTGAAGAATGGTTGGATTCGTGAACCTTACACTTTGATCGTCAATAAGAATATTAAACAGAGAATACTATCAGTTAATGAGCGTAGTTATTATAATAAAGTTACAAATAGTATGATCTACTACACTTGTTGTGTTCCGATAACAATAGTGAATAGCAACTTTGGGATCCATTTATGGGTCAATATTATGCATGTAACTTTTATCGTATATTTGATAAATAACTCAACTATTCATATTCATGTTCCCCTTATTATAAGCTTTATTTTGACCTATAGACTATTATTGTACGATTTACCATTCTTGAGTTATCTCTAGTCTATTAATCACTGCTCCCCCTATTCACAGCCACATTTGGCTAAATCTTGTACAAATGTTATTTTCTATTTTATTGGTATGATGTGGTCAGTCTGTTTGGTATATAAACTCAGTATGTTTGAAATACAATGATTCATACCATAGAGGCTGTTCTGGACTTAACTGGCTAGGCTAGGCAGAAGCAGGACCGATACGTACTCTAGACTGCTCGTACGGTTTTCGTGTGTCACTGTTTCAGTCGATAATCCACCGCTCTCTAATTGGCGGTCTTATCACGTTATACATTAACAGGGCATCCACTCGGCCATAAGTTATAACAACATTATTTATCAATCACTAGAGTTCTTATTGGTCCCTTGTTCACCTAGTCCTTTCAATTGAGTCCAGAACACTAATTACAGCGTCTGCTATACGAATCTATGCGAATCGTTTATTTCAAGCATACTCGGTTTATATACCAGACAGACAGACTACATCATACCATAAAATAGAAAATAATATTTGTACAAGATCAAGCCAAATGTGGTTGTGAACATGGGAAGCGATAATCAATAAACTGAATATAATTTGAGAACAGTAGTTCATATGATAATGATCGATAGGTCAAAATGAAGCTTATAATAAGATGAATATAGATATACATAATCTAATTACTCATTAGTTAAACAATAAGCATATATACAGAATAATCGTCCATCAATAGGTCCTGGGAGTTACCCGTACTTATGTCTTCACTACGATATAACTTCTAAAATCGTTTTATTGTTCAGTTTTACTTATGTATGCTGATTTTTATCGTTTTATCTATTCTAAACGGCTAGTTTAACTTGGAAACATAGTACGACTTATTTTCACTGATCGCTGATAATTTAGCTTCCTACAATAATTAATAATCAATAATTCTGATTAACTGATCATAATAATAAGTATTTTCTTTAGTGATGCGTAAATAAAACATGAACACTGTATAATTTGAGGTTTATGATTCCATAGTGAATATGTGGTTTTCTATACTAGTATTACATTTTTGGACACAGCTCATGTTTGGCTTCGGAATTTTACGATAAACTTGACCGTTAGGTAGGAATCTGTTGTGACACAAAGTGTTATAAAGCTGATGTGGATACGCACTCTTGTCAAATACAGGCCTGATTACTCGAAATAAAAGAAAAGTGAACAAGGAAGTTTATTTGGCTACGTTATATAGATATCCCTTGAGAAATTAAGCCTGTCAGTGTCTTCTCCCTTACAAAATGAAGCCATTCGTTGAGCAATCACGTGCGTTTATGATTTTAAAGATGTTCGGTTAGGCCGCTTTATTAGAATATTTGAAGACGTGTTATAATGATAATGGATGACAAGATCTCCATCAATCACTCATTGTTATAAGTTGAAATAACATAAAAAACCAAAGTTTATTGGATTAACTAATTTCATGTTGATAGATATGGCCACGTGTATACAGCCACTGGTAGGGAAAACCTACTCACTGCCTTCTCGCAACATTATTGTTGTTTACGAAATCCAGAACACGAAAAGCCAATGTCCGGCGCTTTAACCGGGTTGGTGGATACGGAAAGTCCACTTAGGAGAATTGAAAAGCCCTGATTCCAAACCAATGGTGCACATGGGCTCCAGTATCCTGAGAGAACAAATGTCGTTTGAACCAATTATTGGTTACCGGCTACCATGATATTGCATCTCCTGACGTTGCTCTACTGCTTTGTGGACCAGACCTTTATGTTGAAGGCTTCGGTAGTGGCCATCTAAGAAAACCACCTGCTTCGGTTTGGACACATGGACAGTATGAAAACCCACACACAAATCAAGGGACTTGTGTGCCGCATATGTATTCGGTGCTTCAATCGATTCATAAATTCAACGATTAAATTACTACAATCTCCAAAGAAACTCTCTTTCTGATAACATTTTATGAGTTTTAAAACAGGAATAAACATGTCTACACACAAATACATATCTACTTAACAAATATCTAAACTCACCATAGAATAGTTTCCACACCATGACATATCCAAACGTCTCAAATGAGAGTTTGGCAATTCAAAATAATCACTTTTATTTAATTCATCTGTTTGTATTTGTAATGCTTCTGCTGCTGGACCATCGGATGGAATGGAATCCAATAACCTGGTATGATTAAGTAAACGTGCAGTAGCATTCGAACTATAACTACGTACTCGTGCAGCAAATGGTGTATGTGCACGGTAAGTGTAACGTGTGTTTAAACTGTGCTGTTGATTAGCTACATATTGATTTTCAATCTCATCATTATTCCTTTCTTCTTCTCTACATTGACGACGTAATAAAGTGATTGGTGCAACTAATGATTGACCTGTTGTATAATATTCAGCAACTGCTCTTTCAGTTAAATTAACTTGACCAAGACGTTTACCTAAACTTATTAATGTTGAATCATTTAATATTGGCCAAAATGATTGAAGATCAATACTAGTCATATTGGCAAGGGTATCTTTAACTAAACAACGGAATTGTCTGTATGTATGAGAATAAGAAAAAAAGAATGAAATGAAAGAAAAATGGTTGTATTTCATCTTATTAAGAAATTTACCAGCTAATAAACGAACATATACATACACTTCAACATTCAAAGTTGTTGATTGTTAAATGAATATCAAAATGAATTCATTCATTCCAATTAGAAAAGTTGTTGTGACTATAATTTATGGATCACCTTGGAGCGACGCCAAAGGGGCCTTGCGAACATACACATACTTTTAACTAGGAACTACGCCTGCAGCAAATTTGAGGGCTACAGCCGGTTCCAAGCTCGGGAAAAGGAGGTGTACTAAGCAAGAGGTAGGCAACCCCATCCCGTAGAAAACCAATTCGCTGATATAGCATCAGATCATCATTTGCTGGTCGCCAAGATGAAACTAAAACTTAAGAAGCACTGGACAACGGCGCGGACAACATCACAAAAGTTTAATACGGCCTTTCTTCGGGATGCTGACAAACTCAACAAATCCAACATAGCCCTCAGCAACAGGTTCGAGGCCTTTCATGATCTACTCAATGGAGAGGAAACTACCATGCAGAACAACTGGAAAGGCATCAAGGAGGCAATCATTTCAACATGTCAGGAGGTTCTGGGCTACAAGAAGCACCATCACAAGGAATGGATCGCTGCTGGTACACCGGATAAGATTGAAGCAAGGAGGAACAAGAAGGCAGCAATCAATATCAGCCGAACCAGAGCGGAAAAAGCCAAGGCACAAGCCGAATACACAGAGGCAAACAAGCAAGTGAAGAGGAGCATCAGAACCGACAAATGTAAATATGTGGAAGATTTAGCAATGACAGCGGAAAAGGCTACAAGAGATTGAAACATGAGACAACTGTATGATACAACAAAGAAACTTGCTGGAAATTACCGTAAGCCAGAAAAACCAGTGAAAAACAAGGAAGGCAAAGTAATCAACGATATTGAAGAACAACGAAACAGGTGGGTAGAACACTTCAAAGAACTCTTGAATCGAACAGCTCCACTGAACCCACCCAACATCGAAGCAGCACCCACAGACTTCCCAATCGATGTTGGCCCACCAACAATTGAAGAGATCAGCATGGCCATTAGACAAATCAAGAGCGGCAAAGCAGCGGGACAGACAAGATCCCGACAGAGGCACTGAAAGCGGATGTAGCAGCAACTGCCAAAATACTCCACATCCTCTTCGGTAAGATTTGGGACGAAGAACAAGTACCAATAGACTGGAAAGAAGGACTTCTGACCAAAATACCAAAGAAAGGCGATCTCAGCAAGTGCGATAACTACAGAGGCATCACTCTTCTCTCAATACCAGGAAAAGTCTTCAACAGAGTATTGTTAAACAGGATGAAGGATTCCGTGGATGTCCAACTTCGAGATCAACAGGCTGGATTCCGTAAGGATCGATCATGTACAGACCAAATCACAATTCTACGTATCATTGTGGAAAAATCAATTGAATGGAATTCATCACTCTACATCAACTTCATCGACTACGAGAAAGCATTTGATAGCGTGGACAGGATAACGCTATGGAGGCTTCTTCGACACAACGGCGTGCCTGAGAAGATAGTCAATATCACAAGAAACTCCTATGATGGATTAAACTGCCAAATCGTCCATGGAGGATAACTCACCGACTCATTCGAGGTAAAGACCGGTGTTAGGCAAGGTTGCTTACTCTCACCCTTTCTCTTTCTCCTGGTAATCGACTAGACCATGAAGACGTCAACATCTGGAGGAAAGCACGGGATACAGTGGACAGGCAGGATGCAGCTGGACGATTTATACTTCACAGATGACCTGGCTCTTATATCACACATGCAACAACAAATGCAGGAGAAGACGATCAGTGTAGCAGCAGCCTCAGCAGCAGTAGGTCTCAATATAAACAAAGGGAAAAGCAAGACTCTCCGATACAATACAACATGAACCAATCGAATTACACTTGACGGAGAAGCTTTTGAGAATGTGGAAACCTTTACATATCTGAACAGCATCATTGATGAACACGGTAGATCAGATGCAGATGTGAGGTTGAGGATCGGCAAAACAAGAACAGCATATTTACAACTGAAGGACATCTGGAACGCAAAACAATTGTCAACCAACACCAAGATCAGAATATTCAATACAAATGTCAAGACAGTTCTACTGTATGGGGCGGAGACGTGGAGATCTACGAAAGCCATTATCCAGAAGATACAAGTGTTTATTAACAGTTGTCTACGCAAGATACTTCGCATCCGTAGGTCAGGCACTATCAGCAACAACCTACTGTGGGAGACAACAAACCAGATTCCAGTGGAGGAAGAAATCAGGAAGAAGTGCTGGAAGTGGATAGAACACACATTGAGGAAATCACCCAATTGCGTCACAAGACAAGCCGTCACATGCAATCCTGAAGGTCAAAGGAGAAGAGGAAGACCAAAGAACACATTATGCCTCAAAATGGAGATAGACATGAGAAGAATGAACAAAAATTGGATAGAACTAGAAAAGAAGGCTCAGGACAGAGTGGGTTGGAGAATGCTGGTCGGCGGCCTATGCTCCATTGGGAGTAACAGGCATATGTACGTAAGTAAGTATTGACTAGGGCTAAATGAGGGTTTTAAATCAATGTGAATGTTTGTGATTTACAATTCACAGTTACGGATATGGATTAAATTTAAGGTTTTCATCACGAACTGACATCAGCTAAAATGTAAAGACTTTATTCAGCCAAATGGATGGATGAATGAATTTCGTGCTGAAATCCAAGATCTATTATCGTAAATCTGATTGGTACATCTATGAATTATTGTCTCACCAAAAAGTTGGCTATATCTACTTAAACTTTAAAGTTAAGTTCACACCATTGTTGTCAAGAGATGTAAAAATATTTTTAATCAATATGAGATTGATGAAACATGATCAATGAAGGTAGAATACAAATGATAATTACTAAGGTCGTTACGATAACATCATTAAATGAATGATGTAATAAGGAGGGGGAGAGGGGCTCTTTAAGAAATAGTGAACAATAAGATTATGGAAAATAATCAGTATTAGCGCATTGTACTAAATGTTAATTGTATTAAACCAAGGTGAACTCTTTTATTCAATATGAATATGAATGAAACAATGACAATAATTGATAGTGCATAATTGTAATGATAAGGAATTATCAATATGATATATGTATTAAGATCATTTGAAATAATATAAAGGTGAAACAGTAATTACTTAAAAATTCATTTAAATAAAGTAATTGAGATCATGAGTCAATTGAAGCTAGACCACTGTGGAAAATTTGGAAGCACTGGACGGCTGTTTCGTCTTATTGTGAGACTCCTCAGCAGTGCGCATCCACGATCCCGCCTCGTAAGATTCGAATCCAGGATCTATCAGTCTCGCGCGCGAGCACTTAACCTTTAAACCACTGAGTCGGCATCCAACGATGTTAATGTCTAACTTCAACCGATTCACCGAATTGAGCAACACATCGATCACTGTCTTCAGTGTTTCCAGGCTTTCCATGGTGGTCTAGCTTCAATTGACTCATGATCTCAACTATTGAAATTACTATAATATCAACAAAACCCCTTCTGATATTAAAATGAATTACGCAATTATAACAACAACACCAATAACAACAATGAAATTAGATCTAAAGACTTTACACACATTTTATTAATTAAATATGTATCTATCACTGTTCTACTGTGGTGTGTGCTACTTATATCGATATAAGTAATATATAACGCTAATCAGGAATAGAATATCTGGCTACAGAAGATCGAGAAGAAGAGAACGAGAACAGAGAATTAAATATGTATCTATCACTGTTCTACTGTGGTGTGTGCTACTTATATCGATATAAGTAATATATAACGCTAATCAGGAATAGAATATCTGGCTACAGAAGATCGAGAAGAAGAGAACGAGAACAGAGAAAGATTGGTGTGAAGACGAAAGAATAATGAAGTCTGAGACGATTGACTTATATTTGCAAAAGCAACAGTCAAGTTTGTGACAATTGATTTATATTTTGCAAATGAAGCATTTACTGTATGGTTCTTAGATTTCACTAAGATGTTCTGTAATTTTGTGTTGGAATACATTAGATTGTCCCCACTTGTGTTTTTGTTCAGTACACTATTATCATTGTAAACTAATACAAACCGAACCCATATATATAAAGTTTAATGTTACTACCATGATATTGTTTCAATTTTCAAAATTAAACAGAATAACTAAGATATTCACCTTTATTTCCACGTTGATTAGAATGAAAACTCTTGAAAGATGTGTAAAATATGATATAACTTATTTGTATGAGACAAAAGGACCCTTAATAGCCTTGGTACGGCCAAGAGTGGGGAGGGCCCGCTATCCCTCTCTCAATGCTCTCACACGGCCACGCGTATACAGCCTTTGCCAGGGAGATCCTACTCACTGCCTTCTCGCGAAATTACTGTTGTTTACGAAATTTAGAGGACGAAAAGCGAATTTCTGGCGCCTTAACGGGATTGGTGGATGTGGAGGACCCATCTAGGGGACTTGGAAAACCCTGATTCCAAAACAATGGTGTAAATGGGCACTACTACCCTGAAGGAACAAATGGCGTATGAATCAATCTTTGGTCACCGACTACTGTGGGACTGCATCTCCTGACGATGCTCCACTGCCTTATGGATCAGATCTTTAGGTCAAAAGCTTGGGATGTGCCCCACTAAGAAAACGACCAGCCTCGGTCTGGGCAGCCGGGCAGTATCACAGCCCTCGCACAAATAAATGAAATGACGCTTTCTACTGACAGTGCTATTCTCGCTCCTACTAAAAGTCAGACAATTTACATTATTATTATTATTATTATTATTATTATTATTATTATTATTGTCATTATTATTATTATTATTTACCACGTCGCTTATTCACTCCCTTTTATTCTTAATTTGTGTATCTTTACTTTTCAACTTATGCGGCAGCTCGCCCGTGGTGGAAACTTTGCTCTATCTAAACCATCTCCAGTCAATGTCTGGTCGAAAAATAATGCTTCTACCGGATACGAATACTGAAGCAGTCTTTCTGAAACCACGTACGCCGTTCGAAATGGCTTCCTTCAACGTTCGCAAATGTACACTACTACCCTGGAGGAACGGATGGCGTATGAACCAATTGTTGGTCACCGGCTACCATGGAACTTCATCTCCTGACGTTGCTTCACTGCCTAGTGGATCAGACCTCTATGTCGAGTGGCCCCCTCTAAGAAAACCACTGCTTCGGTCTGGGCACCCAAGCAGTATCATAGTCCTCACACAATTAAAATGAAATGAGAACTTTTTGTGTGACGCATATATATCTGGTGCTCCCTTGTACAAATATTTATGTGTTTAAACAAATGAATAAATAAAAATGAGACAAAAGTTGCACAAATAACAAATACTACACTCACTTACCGAGATACACATGCGCAACGAAGTAAACTTCTTAAGCCCAAAAAAGAGAAAATATGAAGTAAAACTTCATACTTGACATTGTCACAAATGTTGTTGCCAAGGGAATATCATATGAGAAAAATGCATAAAATAAGATTTTTGATAATTCATAATGATTATATAGTTTTCTTATGAGAAAAAAACCCAGTTACGATTAATACAACATCTTACAATCCAACTTAAGATCTGAATGGACTGAGCCGTTTATATTAGATCAGACAGTCAGTCAGCTACAACGTAGGACGAGGCACATTTATTCATCTGTCCAAGTTGCCATGCCTCACTCATTAGCACAACAAGATGAACACCGAATTCATAGAAGTAGTTAATTTAGTGGTGGTAATATATAAAAGATAGATAGAATAACACTTTTCAGTGTTTTGCAAGATTTTAAATGTTTACCCATAACTATATTCATAATGACGCGAAAAGTATTCACTGCTTACTTTTTGAATTGAATTGAATTCAATACTCTACGGAACATAAAAGTCCCAAACAATATAACGGGGAAGAGTAACAGATGAAAGACAGTGTACATGAATCTAAAATCCATAAAAGTAGGGTGTTAAGTGATGTCAAAAATATGCAATCCATTTATATAGCAAGTTGAACAAAAACTTTTCTTTGATCTTAAAACATGGAGAGATTAATAGAGGTCAGAAGTTGTTATAAATTCGCTTATTACGACTCAGCTATTCCTATTGCTTAGTAATCTTGGATACCGATTCACTTGACAAGTCCACAAATCAGAACACGGTTGAACAGGAAAGAAATTATATTCCAAATAATAAGGGCGGATGGAAGTAAGAAACACAATAAGAAATACGTTAGTATTTTTATAATTTCTACATGAGAAGATTCTAGAGTGTTCTCCAAGTATCGACTAGCGCTGATTGGGTAAGAATTAACCAGTCGGTGTGCGCCAACGCATTCATGCACTGGACATGCTTTAATCCAATCTATGTCCTGCTAACAGATGTAAAACTAACACTACGATAAACGATATTCGAAATAGCGTCAATCACAAAATCTCTAAAAGTATAAAAGTCATGCAACCTTACCTGGGTATTCAGGTTGCATCCATATCTTAGGCGAAAGTTAACACCACGACATTCAGAGGGATTGAGTGTAACTTGATTAAAAATAGATTACTCTTCAATATGCACTTAGGACTCATTCATTTCAAAGAAAAATTAAACACAGTAAGATCATTCAAAAAAATGAGAGGGAGAGAACGACTTCTTGAAGTACACCGATTCTGAGCAAGTAGAAAACCTTCCTTCATAAATGGTATACTGTTCTCTTCTAGGGAAATAAGGACACAGGAAGTTGGTTATAGAGCGCCCTGTGTTTACATTAGCGAGCTTTCTTAATATCAGGGGTTTTAGAATATAATAAGAGGAAAAAGTATAATTTAGAAGACTGTGTGTGAAACACCTCACTATATCATGACGCAAGACAACAGTACTATCAGAAGTCATCCTTCAGAGAAAACTGATATAGGACAAAATATTCTTTTAATGAATTCTTAAGTGTAAGCAGTTGTTTACTTATCATTTCAAGAAAAGATGTTTCATAATAATTTGATGAAAGTCGATACTTCGTTGGCATTTAGTCATATTCTATTAGAGCCCAATACCTAAGTTTCAACAAGCTTGATAACAAGAAGTCCAGTGATTTGAAACCTGTTTGTGAATAAAAACACAGAAGGATTCATCTAAATATCTCATTCACTTCATTAGTGGTCCACATTATTTGTGTAAATGCTGGGATACGTTTTGGTCTCCCAAACCAAAGAAAATGGTTTTCTTAAAAAAGTTAAGCCCAAAGCCTTTAACTTAAAGGTTTTAACCACAAGGTCACAAATTTACATCAGAAGATGAAATCCCAAGGTATCCAGTGGCTAAATTGGGTTTGTACACATTGACTCCCCCAAGATCTCAACATCCGCAAGCATTATTTGTTAAGAGTTATGGTTTTACGACTCCTCTAAGTGAACTCTCCCTGTACATTAGCCGAAAGATTTGAATAATCTTGGTAAAATTTCTGTTTGAATTGTGAATGTGAGCTGTTGAACATTAAATACTGTGTTAAATAGTCTATAGCAGGTCACGTACATTTGAGCTTGTTCACACTTAATCTGGTTAAGCCCTTTTGTTAACTTATTTGTCGGACAGAGTCATTCGTACAATAACAGCTTTTCTATACCATTGTACCTTTATTATTGTTGGGCTTGTATGAATACGTATGTCTGAGGATTGGCTTACCGCCTATGCGTATATCCATTCTGCTGGCTTTAATGTTAGCCGCTTAATTGATTCAATAGTTCATCCATTCTTATATATATATATATATATATATATATATATATATATATATATATATTTTAATCCTATTCACTCGACTCGCACGCTCACTCGTCCGCTTAATTTTCGTTATTAGCCTTTCCTTCTTCTTCAGCGTGCCTGTGGTTTCAGTGATCTGTGCGTGATGTAATAATAAACGTGATCAACGCTTCGTGTTTGTTTTCTGATTTATACACCGTTGAGGGCGTTATCTAGCGACGGTTATCAGGACAAACAATATACAAAGTTTAAGGATTATATCGAATACTGACTACTACAAGTCAAATAAATCAATTTGAAACAATCAATCCTTTAGATAGACTTCGATATTGTAATAAGACGAAGGTTAACGGAACTATGTGATATATTAGCGCCATACATTTTAAACAACCCAGAGTGATGAGGTTTTGAATTGTTTTCATATTATTTTCTTTATTATCCTTATCTATTCTTACCCCCATTTCCAGTCTGGTTGAACTTTTAGTTTTATATGTAAATGTTCTTAACAAGTATATATGTGATTAGAGTGTTCGGAATGTGTTGCGCTAATATATCATCTCATAGTTCTGATAATCTTAGTCTTATTATTACACTATCGAAACAAACCAATTCTTGATATCAGTCAGTCACAACGTTGAACTTCGTACGTACGTACATCAGTTGAAGTTGCCATTGATATATCTTAAAAGTTATATTAATTTACATAAAATTAAGTGTTTAATCAGTCATATTTAATGTAAACAGTATGAAAAAAGACATTTACAAACATCTATGCAATTCATGCATATGTACACTACTTACCGGTAAACGAGTTAATGGACCATGACGCCATAATGCATCTTCATTTAAATAGGTCAGACCAAATAATGAAGATTGACAAATTGTACCTGGTGGTAATGCAACTAAATTTCTACTTTGTAATAATAATAAATTCATTCCAACTGGTGGTATCTGAATTAAACCAGAAGATTTACGACGAATACAGATTGGTAATAATGCCGATGATGATGTAGAAGATTTATCTTCATCAATATTTTCATCAGCTAATTGCTTTGGTGATGATTCAAGTAAGCTAGCATCTGAGAACGATAGATCCATTGGCTCATCGGTTAGCTAAGACAGAAAATTAAGGAGTGAATTACACTGATTCATGGAGGTAAATAGTTAGGTAATAATAGATACGAACTGAGAAATAGTTGAGAGATGACAATCGTCTTGTAAACCGGTAGGGTTAGATGAAAGTCAAGTATATATATATATATATATATATATATATATATATATATATATATGCTATGTTGACTCCATCATCTAGAAGATACAAGTGTTTATTAACAGTTGTCTACGCAAGATACTTCGCATCCGTAGGTCAGGCACTATCAGCAACAACCTACTGTGGGAGACAACAAACCAGATTCCAGTGGAGGAAGAAATCAGGAAGAAGCGCTGGAAGTGGATAGAACACGCATTGAGGAAATCACCCAATTGCGTCACAAGACAAGCCCTCACATGCAATCCTGAAGGTCAAAGGAGAAGAGGAAGACCAAAGAACACATTATGCCTCAAAATGTAGATAGACATGAGAAGAATGAACAAAAATTGGATAGAACTAGAAAAGAAGGCCCAGGACAGAGTGGGTTGGAGAATGCTGGTCGGCGGCCTATGCTCCATTGGGAGTAACAGGCGTAAGTAAGTAAATTTTACTTAAATGTAAAGTTAGATCATCTAACATATTTTGAGATCCAAGGAAAGAAACATAAGATAAATACCGGTCGCTATGTAGTGAACAATACACGAGTGGGGACAATCGAATGTATGTGGGCACAAAATTACAGAATGTCTCCCTAAAATCTTAGAAACGTATAGTAAATAGTTAATTTGCAAAATAACAATCCATCGTCTCAAACTTGACTGTTCCTCTTGCAAATTATTGACTTATTTATTTGAACACAAATATTGGTACAAGGAGGCACCAGATATATATGCACCACACAAAAAATTGTCATTTCATTCAATGGTGTGAGGGCTACAATACTACCCAGGTGCCGAAACCGAAGCAGGTGGTTTTCTTAAAGAGCCACTCCCGGAGCCTTTGACCTAAAATTCTGATCCACAAGGCAATGGAGCATCGTGAGGAGATGTACTCCCATTGTAGCCGGTGTCCACCAACCCGGTTAAAGAGCCGGACATTCGCTTTTCGTCCTCTCAATTTCATAAATAACGCCCCCGCCACGAGAAGACAGTGAGTAGGACTTCCATGGCAGAGGCTGTATAGGCGTGGCCGTGTAACAGCATTTCGAGAGAGAGAGGACGTGCCCTCCCCACTCTCGGCCGTACCAGGGCATTTGGGGGCAAATATCAGTCCGTCGTCCCCAATTATTATTGTTCATGCATTTTCATACCAATGGTGTTTCGTTTCCGTTCTTTCCTTATCAATCTTTTAGTGAATTACATTTAATGCCCGACCATCGTTATATACTACTTGTGTGGATATAAGTAGCCCACACCACAAGTACTTATAGTAAAATTGTGAATTTTTTCTAATTTCGTTTTATCCTAACCTAAAATAATTAGTATCTATTTAATAGAAAAATACACAATGATTGTAGCGGAAAATACTACTAAGATTATACTTACATTATATGATGATGCTCTTAATCGTGGTGTACACGGTCTTAATAAATCAGAAAAAAATGATAAAGTATTTTGTGAACGATTATTTGATTGTTCTACACTATCTGTATTGACACCAATTGATAATGATGATGATGATGAGGCTTCCAATTGTCCAGGCCATCGTGATATAATAGTATCTGCTAATTCAGCCCAACCAGATAAACGTACAGCATCAATTTGTGTATAATATCTACATCGTGTACTATCAAATTCAATTCGTATTAAGTCTGTTGGATATGGTCGAATATTGGACTAAAAGTAGAATAAAAAAAGTATGCAAGTACTTTTCCAGAATATATAAGTTTGTTTGAGTTGATTATTTAAATCTTCCCATTGATGTTTAGGACTCCAATGGACCAGTCTCAGGAATATATGGATCGTATTCTGATTGCCTCGACATTACCATTAAGTTACACACATTATAAGCAGATATGGGTGGTGGCTAGTATTAGAATCTACGACGAGTGTTTTGTCCTATTTGAGACTCGTCATTTAAATTTACCTGCATCCCAGAATTGTTCACTCCGGGACTCGGGCCCAATACCATTCTTTTTAAACGCCATCATGTTATCCAAATAAATACAAATAAACACAACTAACACAAATAAATTTAAATTCGTCCTAATGATCGTTCGGAGTTAATTATTAGCCTTAAAATTGGTTACTCCACTTTGTTAGTTGGATGGAGATGATATTTGAAAATGTATACTTAACTGATCGACACATGATTCAAAGAGGAAAAAGTGAAGAACCTATCATAAATGAGAAAGTATAAACAAGATGTGAACATGGTCAATGTTAAATAAGTGGGTGAAAATCAAGTGGGATCTCTACAATGTCAGATTCTGATTGTAATTCCCATTACGGGCTTAAATCGGTTTCAGAGATGTGGAATAACAAGAGATAGTGACTTGGTAGTTCAAAGTCAAGGGTTCTAACCTGGCTCATTAACAAGTAAAGGTTTATGCACTAGGGTTTAATACTACTCAGTTACCCCAACCACGGTAGTTGGAGTGGGGTTCGAACATGCAATTTGATGCTTCAGGACTATATGTTTGAACAGAGACTACTTCTCCATAATTTCCTATATATAATGTGAGCTAGAAACTCCGCCTGTAGCTCCTCCGGGGGCTACTGCCGGTCTCAAGCCCAGGTAAAGGAGGAGGGTTGGGCATGGGGTTAGCGACCCTATCCCGTAAAAAACCAAGTCGCTAAAAAACGCTAGCCAGAAAAAATGTGAGCGAGAACTGTACACATGGCAAGGTTATATGATAGTGTAAACTGGAGTGGGTGCAGTACGTCCCAAACACTCTATCGCATCTATCTCTTTTTTAGTCAAAATTTAATCAGTTCACATCAGTAACCCCTGGAAAAACGAGAAAATGTAGATAGGAAAAAAATCATACCAATTGTGGTTGAAAAATACGTGATTGAGGGAGATATTCTGAATATTGAACTGTAAATGCATTTTCATCATCATATGGTAATGCAGGTAGGTATCTGTCAGAATACATATTAGATATTGATCGTGTTCTACAATTAACAATATCTGGACAAGCTAAAGTAGTGCATACATTATTAGAATGATAAGTTAACTGAAGTTGTCGTTGTTGTTGTCGTCGTATACGGTAATGGTCGTGGTCATCATCATTATCATCGATATGTTGAAGTTGAAATAATTGATTTTTATCATGATTAGAATAATTTAATTTCCATAATGTAATCCATTGAAGTTTACGTAGATTAACTGGACTATTCTCTGGTTGATGTCTATAACAAGCTGAAATACGTACAATAGCACCTGGATTATAAGTTTCATAAATTTGTAAACACAGTGGTATTACTGGTATATCAAAGTATAAATCAACATAATCTTCACTTGTATAATTATCATTATCATCTGGTGTTAAATTGATTGGTTTTAAACTACTTGGACTAATGCGCCACCATTTACCATAAGTTCTCTATAAATACAGAAAATATGTATATAAAGGGATGAAATGTCAAATATATATATATATATATATATATATATATGCCTTTTACTCAATGAAATAATAACATCAAATCATTGGATAGATGTATGAATAGAGAAGTCAATCAGTTACAAAGTAGGACCAGGCACATATAAATGCATCGGTCCAAGTTGCCATACCTAACTCATTAGCACAACAAGATGAATACCGGATTCATAGAAATAGTTAATTTAGTGATGTATGTGCACTCGACTCACACCGGCTGCATATAAACGGTGGTGCATGCCATTATCATGTTGGTTGTGTAAAGAATGTTGTTCTACTAAATCTCTGTTTATTCTAGAGGCGATTGAGATACTAAACATAGCCAACAAATCGCCCTCTGATAAACAGGCAGCAACAAATGACCAGAACTCTGCTTTCGAGGAAATTGAGAGCGTTATTATGAGCCTAGCTCTAGACTTAAATTAGACCGTAATGGTGGACCTCATCAGGGAAACATAAGCATATGGACATAGAAAATGTTACAAGGAGAAAGAAGCGCTCTGAGAAGAAGGAACTACCTATAGACAGTACTAAGGTATGTGAATCTGCGGCTTCAGTTCCGGTTTCACATATCAATGTCAGTCAGCTACAACGTAGGACCAGGCACATTTATGCATCGGTCCAAGTTGCCATACCTCATTAGCACAACAAGATGAACATCGGATTCATAGAAATAGTTAATTTAGTGGTGGTGGTATATAAAATATAGGTTGTATATAAGGATATAGTATAGGAAGGATGAACTTTATGAAGCAATTTTAATCTTAAGGTTTAAGGGATGATAAAGAGTGTATACATCTACTCATTTACCAAGTATATATTAGTGTACTCGTCACTAAACAAAACAATTTAACCCTTGTAATATCATCTAATAGCTCAAACTAAAAAGTTCGGAGATATTTTGAACTTGCAATCAATTAGTTCGGAATCAAATGGGTTGACCAACGCTCCTTAAAATGGATATGCATCAAAAACTCCGTTTGGCTTATTAAGGGTTACCTATTTGGAGGCTACACCATTTGTCAGGAATGTTTTGGAGGTACCTAGGATCAAATAATTGAGATTTATGTCAGTCTTTTATTTTCACAAGCAGCGCTTCGCGGCTGTAGGGCAATACACAGCATACTGTTGTACAGTACACTTACCTCTTGATTTGTGTACGAACTTCTCACCAATGCGACAAGTAGAGAAAGTTGTCAAAAGTCAGGTGAGCATTTTATATCCGTGTTGAGATATTGTATTCCACCAATCCACCAGGTTTGATGAGACTTCTGATATAATTAAAGTTGTTAACAAATTTGAATATCACATCTCCTAATGTTAGACACCGATGCTGATCGGTCCTGAGGCAGCTTCTCGCATTTAGAAGGAAAAAGAAACAGATTCTAAGCATGCTCAAGTTATTGTTCATAGAACTTAGCAGACCAGTTTTTCAGTATTTTCCCAAATAAAATACAATTATGAGAATATAAATACAGAACACATCAACTTGATCGACAGAATTCGATTTGTAGTAATAAGAGACTCGAGAAACATGACATTGATCACGACTCAGCAACCAGTTAATTGTAAATATTTGCGATGTTGAAAGACCATTCACTAATGAAATCTTATAATGCATTCGATGAAGATTCAACAATCTCCATAAATGTCCTGTAGTAATAATAATTATGCACTCACTAATGACAAATTTTGACAGGCAATCTGTTGGGGATGTCAAATCCCCAGAACTTACTTGATAAGTGGCTCAATTTTGTAATTTTATTTTGGAAATTTGAATTTAGCTGTTTTCGCGCCAAAACGTGCTCTTATTACCTTCACATCATATTTCCCACTTGTAACTATCTTAAACGCTATTGGTCCATTGTTTCTTTGTGTGTGCTAATTATTAACGATGCCCAAGGACATTTTGTTGCTGTATAAATACGCTTGACTTTTTCCCTTATTTGATTACTGTGCTTCTGGCTGCTACGGAATATAACTTCCCCGATCCAACTTGGACTTCTTACTCTAGTTAGCTGGGTCTGGGTCGCGTCAGTATAGCTAGTTATCGGTCTCTGGTCACGTGTCTTTGTTCCGTTCGTTACTAGTGAATTCGTAACGCTTCAGATATATCACAATCCCAAAAGTTCTAATGAGAATTTGTGACTAGTGGAGTTCAACCATTCCGGGTGAGAGACAGTTATCTACTTCAGGCAATAAAACGTGGCGAATTAATTCAAGTTAGATGTGTAAACCACTATATGCCGAACCAGTGGTCTAGAGGTTAAGCGCCTGCGCGGGAGACCGGAAGTCCTGGGTTCAATCCCCTGAAGAGTCGTGGATGTGCACTGATGACGAGTGCTATACTGGGACGAATCAACTGTGAAGTGTTTTCCCACTTTCAGTAGTTGTCTAACCAAGATCAATGAGTAATCTAATCTACGAAAATTCAACAAACTTTAAGACCGCCTACAGAAATTGTAGATACCTCAGTTTTACAAGAAGTGAGTCTCTACCTGAATAGTTCAGGTGGGAAAGGTTAGTTAGGTGATGTAGGATCAAACAGTGAGCGTTAGTTCTTTTAATAATGCAGATACGTCTTCCTAATGATTACCAACCAGCACGAACCCTAGTCTCAGGGCTCACTGATAACTATTATGACTACCTAACAAAAAATAGTTAACATGTGATGCATTTGTGGTGTTTTCTGCCTACGCTGACAGATATAAGTAATATGTAGCAGTAAACGAAAGTAGAATGTCCCCCAAAGTAAGAGTGAAATGAAGAGAGCAGGAAAGGAAATAACGATCAACTGAAATAAAAAGACAATAGGAAGAATCATGAAGTGTGTAAATGAAAACTGATGGAAGATATGCGAATGATGTATTTAGTGTGTAGTGACCTGCTTTTCTCGACGAGAACGCGATTGGTATAATGGAAACAATTATTATTATAATCGATTGTACCAGTGATTGTTTTACTGTAATCGTTTTGTTTAACTGTATCAAAATCCCTTTTCGTTCCGTTGTCCATCTTGTTCGTTCGAAATTTATTGCGCTCTGCCTTTTTGCGTGTACTCTTTGGCACGTCTCAGTATTCTTTCGATACCACGAAATCGCCAATAAATATACTTTATCTGAGCCAATTACAGCCTTCTGGTCTATGAGCTAGCGAAGGAACCAAGTCGATTTCGAGCGCGTAATCTTACTGTAGTGGTGATCATAGTCAATCACGACTCGACGCCATCTACAAATTTATGGTTTTTATATTTTACGAAAGCACAGTGTAATTTTACATTAAACAAGAAAATTGGTTATCCCCATCAAGTCTTCGTTCACTACATATGTATGAATAATATACATGTTACATTCACGAATCACGGGTTTACGATACAATGAAACCAATAAAGAAGTAAAATTCCGTTCCTACTTTTTTTTCAAATTTTGTTACGTAATTGGGCAATAAAGTTTAATCATGTGGTTCAAAAACAAAATGAATTTAGATCTATCTAGGAAACAGTAGTACATGAAAACACAAGGAAAATAATCACTAACGTAAATAAAGGAACATAGATGTGACTTCGATCGAAGAAAGTTTCCCCATAAAAGAAATATTATAAAACGTTGAAATTAGGAAGCCACACCATTGAAATATGACTATAATCACCACTACAATAAAACTACAACTCCGCCTGTAGCTCTTCTAGAGTTACTGCCGGTCCCAAGCCCGGGTAAAGGAGGAGGGTTGGGCATGGGGTTAGCGACCCCATCCCGTAGAAAAGCTAACTCGCTAAAAAAACGCTAACCAGAAAAAATAATTCAAACCATTTAAACTCTGCCCTCCGAGTTGAAGGAATAATGACGTCTCATGATGAAAGCCGAAGTTCTTCGGAAGTCACGAGACCGATGCACCTTCTAACAACCAGAGCAACACTCTTTATAGGTACATGGAACGTCCGGACAATGTGGGAGACAGGAAAGACCAGCCAAATAGCAATGGAAATGAGGAGATACAAATTGGCAGTACTCGGAATCAGCGAAACTCATTGGACACAAACTGGACAACAAAGGCTAGGTACAGGAGAGATGCTGCTGTACTCCGGTCACGAAGGGGAAAATGCTCCACACACTCAGGGAGTTGCTCTAATGCTGTCCAAAGAAGCACAAAATGCACTTGTGGGATGGGAATCTCATGGACCCAGGATAATCAAAGCATCATTCAGAACAAAGAAGGAGGGGATCACAATGAACGTTATCCAATGTTATGCACCCACCAATGATAGCAACGACGATGATAAAGATCAGTTCTATGAAAGGCTGCAATCAATTATAGCAAAGTGCTCACGAAAGGACCTCACCATCCTTATGGGAGATCTAAATGCTAAAGTTGGAGTGGACAACACAGGATATGAAGATATAATTGGACGACATGGACTAGGAGAAAGAAATGAAAATGGGGAGAGACTTGCAAACCTATGTGCTTTCAACAAATTGGTTATAGGCGGCACAATATTCCCACACAAACGCATACACAAAGCTACATGGATTTCACCGGACCACACCACAGAGAACCAGATAGATCACATCTGTATCAACAAAAAATTCCGAAGATCAATGGAAGATGTGAGAACCCGGAGAGGAGCTGACATAGCTTCAGATCACCACCTGGTTGTGGCCAAGATGAGACTGAAGCTTAAGAAACACTGGACAACTGGACAAACAGCACTACAAAGGTTTAATACAGCCTTCCTTCGAGATACTGACAAGCTCCATGAATTCAATATAATTCTCAACAACAGGTTCCAAGCTCTACAGGATCTACTGAAAGAACAAGAAACTACTTTGGAGGACAACTGGAAAGGGATCAAAGAAGCACTAACTTCAACGTGCCAGGAGGTTCTTGGTCCTAAGAAGCATCATCACAAGGAATGGATCTCTATGGGAACCCTGGACAAAATTCAAGAAAGGAAGAACAAGAAACTAGCAATTAACAACAGCCGAACACGAGCAGAGAAAATCAAAGCACAAGCAGACTACGCAGAAGCAAACAGGGAAGTGAAGAAAAGCATTAAAGCCGACAAGCAGATATACATGGGAGAACTAGCAACGGCGGCGGAAAAAGCTGCAAGGGAAGGAAATATGAAACAACTATATGATACAACGAAGAAATTGGCAGGGAGATATAGCAAACCGGAGAGACCAGTCAAGGACAAAGAAGGAAAGACAATCACTGAGATTCAAGAACAGAGGAAAAGATGGGCAGAATACTTCGAGGAGCTGCTGAATAGACCAGCCCTATTGAATCCACCGAACATCGAAGCAGCCCACACAGACCTTCCAATAGATGTCACTCCACCAACGATCGAAGAAGTCAAGATGGCCATCAGACAAATCAAAAGTGGGAAGGCGGCAGGACCTGACAATATACCAGCAGAAGCACTGAAGTCAAACATTGAAATAACTGCAAATATGCTTCACCTTCTATTCAAGAAGATTTGGGAAGAGGAACAAGTGCCAACGGACTGGAAAGAAGGATATCTCATCAAGATACCAGAGAAAGGAGATCTGAGCCAATGTGAGAATTACAGAGGTATCAGCTTGTTATCAGTACCAGGAAAAGTTTTCAACAGAGTGCTGCTGAATCGGATGAAAGACGCAGTAGACGCTGAACTTAGGGATCATCAGGCTGGATTCCGTAAGGATCGGTCGTGCACAGACCAGATTGCGACGCTACGGATCATCGTTGAACAATCAGTTGAGTGGAACTCATCACTATACGTCAACTTCATTGACTACGAGAAGGCGTTTGACAGCGTGGACAGGAGAACATTATGGAAACTTCTTCGACACTATGGAGTTCCTGAAAAGATTGTCAACATTATCCAAAACTCATACGATGGCCTACAGTGCAAAGTGGTGCATGGAGGACAGCTGACAGATGCATTTCCAGTAAGGACCGGAGTCAGACAAGGCTGTCTACTCTCTCCATTCCTCTTCCTTCTAGCGATTGACTGGATTATGAAGAATTCGACATCTGAAGGGAAATACGGAATACAATGGACTTCTCAGAATCAATTAGATGATTTGGACTTCGCAGATGACCTAGCCCTCCTCTCTCATACACACGAACAAATGCAGATGAAGACCGCAAATGTAGCAGCAGCCTCCGCATCGATAGGCCTCCACATTCACAAAGGAAAAAGCAAGATTCTCAAATGCAACACGGAGAACACCAACCCAATCACACTTGATGGCGAAACTCTGGAAGAGGTGGAAACATTCAAGTACCTGGGGAGCATCGTTGATAATCCATTAGGATCGGATGCAGATGTAAAGGCGAGGATTGGAAAAGCAAGGGCAGCATTTCTACAATTGAAGAACATATGGAACTCAAAACAACTCTCAACCAATTTCAAGGTCAGAATCTTTAATACGAACGTCAAGACAGTCCTACTGTATGGAGCTGAAACGTGGAGAACTACTACGGCCATCATCAGGAAGGTACAAGTATTTATAAACAGTTGTCTACGCAAAATACTCAACATCCACTGGCCGGATACTATCAGCAACAGCGTTTTATGGGAGAGGACAAATCAGCTTCCAGCTGAAGAGGAAATTAGGAAAAGACGTTGGAAGTGGATCGGACATACATTGAGGAAATCACCAATGTGCATCACGACTCAATCCCTAACTTGGAATCCGGAAGGGAAGCGGAAAAGAGGAAGGCCAAAGAACACACTACGCCG